AGAGATGCCCAGTAAGTGAAGAACTTGCTGAACAGGCCTGACGCCCCAGTGATCCCCTCCACCATGTTAAGTGGGAGAACCAGCTTTACAGAATTGTCCCTCAGTCTCCATACTTGTGTTACGGCCTTTGTCATACACATCAGACTCCACGTGAGAACGGTAACTTTCTAGAGCCTTTTTTCTTACGTCTCAGAGGCCTATCCCAAGGAGGAGTTGAATGGGTGTCCATCAGGTCTGCCAAGACAGAAACATTTGTCAACCCGGTCTCCTCTCAGTTTCGCCAACTCCCTCTGGTCAGATTAAGTCCTTGTGTTTCTGTTCAGGGCTAGGGATAGAATCCAGGCAGCTGCAAATGCTCTACCACTGAACCGCACCCCAGCCCCTCACTGGGAGATTCTAGGCAGGGACTCTACCACTGAGCCACACCCAGCCCCTCACTGGGGGATTCTAGGCAGGGGCTCTATCACTGAGCCACACCCCAGCCCCTCACTGGGGGATTCTAGGCAGGGGCTCTATCACTGAGCCACACCCCAGCCCCTCACTGGGGGATTCTAGGCAGGTGCTCTACCACTGAGCCACACCCCAGCCCTCACCATCCCGGTGCTCTGTGACCAAGTTATATCCTCAGCCTTCTTTTTTATTTGTTTGTTTTTGAGATAAGGTCTTTCCATTTAGCTCTGGCTGGCCTGGAACTCGCTGCATAGACCAGGTTGGGCTTGAGCTCATAGAGATCCTCCTGCCTCCGACTCTTGAGTGTTGGGATCAAAGATGTGTGCCACCGCACCCAGCTTTAGTTGTTTGTTTGTTTGCTGTTTATTTTTTATAGTTATTTTATTTGGGGCAGGAGAATGGCTCCATAGTTAAGACACTTGCTGCTCTTACAGAAGATCCGGGTTCAGTTCCCATCACCCACATGGTGGCTCACAACCTTACATAACTCCAGTTTTGAGGGATCTGATCCCCTCTTCCAACTTTCAATGGCACTAGACATGCACACGGTGCACATATATACATGCAGACAAAACATTCATGCATATAAAATAAATTAATTAAAATTATTTTATTTTCATTATGTATATCTGTCTGTGCCTGTGTGTGAGTGTGTGCACATGATGCAGGTGTCCTTGGAGACCAGAGGTGTGTCACCTCTTCTGGGACCATTGTGGTTGCTGGGAATCAAATAGGGGTCTTCTGCAAGAGAATCAAGTTCTCTTAACCACTACCACTGAACAACACACACACACACACACACACACACACACCTTTCATTATTTTGAGACATGGTCTCATTAAAGTTCGCTTGGCCTTGAATTCATTCTTTGACCCTGGTGGGCGCTTAGCTTGTGATCCCCTTGCCTGCTCCTGAAGTAACTAGGATCTGGGCTCACAACCTCCAGTCCCAGAGTGCCCTTGCCCTTGTTGGCCTGGAATTTGCTCCCATTTGCCTGCGTTGCTTGTTCCTTCCCATGGTTATGCCAGAATCCCGCTTCCTCTGAGCGCATCACTGTGTCCTCCAGCAGCTTCCTTTCTTTGGTCCCTTTCCCGTAATGTTTCAGTGCGCCTTTGTCTCCCTGAGCATCTGTGTGGGTTCTGGTCTTCTTTCCCTCCTCATTTGTTCACTTATAATGGAGGAGTCACATGGTCAGGGGCTGAGTGTGGAGGCGCCAGGACAGCTTAGTGAAAATCGGCTCTTTCCACCAGATGGGTGCCAGGGACCAAGCTCAGTCATCAGCCTTGGCAGTTAGCACCTTTACCGACGGAGCCACGTTTTTGTGCTAGTGATCAAGCCCTGGGCTCATGTTTACTAGGCAACACCCTGCGCTCTGAGCTACAGCCTAAGCCTCCACTTAAACGAGAAAACGATTTCTCTCCTCTCAAAACCTCACACAAACTTGGGTTCAAGATTCTCCAGATCCCAGGTGATTCTCCATTTTGTGGATCCTATCTTGGGGTCTCCCCTATGCTGGCATCTGAACCCCCAATTACAGCACTTAGTCTGTCAAGACATTGCCTGCTTCAGATGGCCCTCACAAGCCCCAGATTGCCCTGTACCTACGAGTGCCTAGTTTTCAGATTGAGAGCAGTAACAGCTGAGAGATTCAAGGAAGCACCTGCCATCACTGGTTTCTTAGGAAATTACAACTCAGGAGTAGCCAACTGGAAGACGTGCGTGGGCTGTGTGTGGGCATAGAGGGTAATTCATGCATGGCCTTCATGATACTTCCACGTGATCACCAGCTCAGAAGCCCTGAACTGCAGTTGAGAGCCTTTTATGGCAGCTTCACTCCCCTAATGAACAAGGGGTGGGTAAGGCACAGAGTTCCAAGCTTTTCATCTAGGACGTGGTCTTCTGGAGGGGCCTCCGTCCTGAAGCTTCCCAGGACCCACCAGAATCCACCTCGTGAGAATGGAAAGAGTTCTCGTTCCTCAGGAAGACCCAGGGATTCAGGACCAGGATGTTCGGTGACCCCCATCAGGGATTTTATGTGGGTGTGGTAGCCCACACCTTTAATCCCAGCACTTAAGAGAGAGGAGGTGGATTTCTATGAGTTTAAGATTATCCTGGGCCACGTAGGCCATTCAGGGACAGCTAGGGCTACGTAGTGAAAATACTGCCTCAAACAAACAAAACCCAGGGATCTTACCAACATTGCGTCAGAGTGATCTATATACATCTATCACTTTGTCACCCTGTTTGGGGTTTTGTTTTTCATTTTTAAAAAAATTAATTATGTGTATGTGATGTGTGGAGAAGCATCCAGAAGCCAGAGGCATCGGATCCACAGAACTGCAGTTACAGGAGGTTGTGAACCATCTGACATGAGAATTGGGAACTGAGCTCAGGTTTTCTGGAAGGGCAGGCTGTTTTCTTCATTCTTTATTTTATGTATTTTGGTGTTTTGAGACAGGATCTTTCTGCATGGCTCTGACTGTCCTGAAACTCACTCTGTAGACCAGGCTGGCCTCAAACTCACAGAGATCCACCTGCCTCCCAAGTGCTGGGATTAAAGGCCTGTATCATCACACTTGGCCAGACTGTTTTCTTAAGTACTAAGCTATCTCTAGCTCATTTTTCATTTTTTTTTTTAAAGACAGGATCTTGACATGAACCCATAGAAGTAGAGGTGTCACGCGGCAGGACTGGGAGAGAGAATAAAGACAGCTGGGACCGGGAGGAGCTGCTGAAGTTGGTGGCTTATGCTGAGCCATTAAGAAAGAAATACAGCATCTTACACAGTATTTGTAAGGGGAGAATGGGCCAAAGTAGCAGAGAGCTAAATCAGACGATGCTGGCAAAGAGAATACATGATACTCAGACACCTACATCTGCCCAGGGACTGATAGCCACAGCCCACGGGGAAGAACAGGATCCCAATAAGCTGCAGTCTTCACTCCTTCTCGGCACGGGCCCCAGCCTCAGACCTACCCAGCCTGCTTCTGGACAATGACGCACAACTAACCTCCCCTTTGTCTTTTTATCCGGGCCTCCGAGAAAGCCTTGGATTCTGTCTTCAGACAGGGTCTCCTGTACCCTAGACTAGATCTGAACCAGCTGTGTAGCCAAGGATGGTCTTAAACTTACTGATCCCCTGCCGGTGCCAGGATTCTGTTTATTTATGCCCCCAGTGTAGGTGCGTGGGGATGGGAGTTTGATTTCTATCGGGGTCAATCTCGGTACTTAGTGAGCAGCATAGAGGAAGTACTCATCATGAGTGAGGAGTCAGCCAGTAAGCAAGGGGCGGGGGTAGAAGGAATACCAGGGCTGCACGTGCAGAGGGCCTCTGGTCATTGCGGGTTTCAGAATCATAGGGCAGGGCAGTGAGTGTGCCGACTAGTGTATCAACTCGACACACAAGCTAGAGTTATCTGAATGGAGGGCCCCTCAGTTGGGAAAATGCCTGCCTAAGAGCCAGCTGTAAGGCGTTTTCTTTATTGGTGATTGATGGCGGAGGGCCCAGCCCGTTGTGAGTGATTTCTGGACTGGCGGGCCTGGGTTCTATAGGAAAGCAGGCTGAGCGAGCCAGGGGAAGCAAGCCAGTGAGCAGCACCCTTTGTGCCCTCTGCATCCGCTGCAGACTCACAGGTTCCTGCCCTGCTTGAGTTCTGTCCTGACTTCCTTTGATGATGAACTGTGATGTGTGTGTGTCAGCCCAACGAACCCTCTCCTCCCCAGGTTGTGGTGTTTCATCACAGCCGTCGTAACCCTGCCTCGGGCAGTGAGAAAATCTGTCTCACATTCAAACCCAGGCGGTTGGCACCTAAGGCTGACTTTGGACCTCAGGAGCATGCGCACACACGGAAGGGAGGGGGAATTTGTGCAGCCACAAATAGGGATTTGGTAATAACTTTGTTCATATTCCGCAGAAATGCATTAGGCTGCCGGGTGTGGTGATATACAGCTTGGGAGGCAGGGGCAGACAGATCTCAAGAGTTTTAAGGCAAGCCAATGCAACATAGGAAGACTCTGTCTCAAAAATATAACAACAGAAAAGCGTGCTGAGTCTTTGAGTATTAAATTCCATTGTGTGCCTGAAGGGCAAGATGAAAGGCCCAGACCGTTTACCACGTACTGCTCCTAATACTAAAATACCAGAAGTTAGCACGCGTCCCTTCTCCTCAGGCCGAAGGCCTCGGGTCCTCAGTTACCCCAAGAAGATAGTTTGGCTCAATTACATTGGAAAGAGCTGACGCTGCAAGAGCGAACTTTTATTCTTAATTATGTGCAAACCTACGTGTCTGCATGAGGACAACTGCACAGGAGTGCAGTTGCAGGGGGAGGTCAAAAAAGGGCACTGGATTCCATGGAGCTGGAGTCACAGGCAGCTGACCTGGCGCCTCTGCAAGAGCAGTATGGGCCTTTGACCCCCGCACTGTCTCTCTTGCCCCATCAGCTTTTCTTCATATTACTCTTAGTGTCCACTGTGGTCATGTGCCCCAGGTCTGTGGGGAAATAGTTACCAAACCCTCTTGCAGTGTGTAAGTAAGCCAAGGCCCTCGGGCCCCTGGTACCCATTAGGGTTTTGTTGCAAACACTGAAGATAAATAGCCTCCAGGGGTCTACGGAGGCTACAGTCCAGCACAGTGAGGGGCTGTTAGACTGGTCGCTAGGACGACGTGATCCTCCAAGGAGGTAGGGTCTAGCTAGGATACCAGGGGAGGCCAAAGGCAGAGGAACCCAGCGTAGGCGCTAGCGCCACCGCCCGCCCCAGGCATAGGAGGAAGGGGCGGGGCCTCCACAGGTCGTTGCCGGAAGTGCCTCTCCGTCCCTGCCACTGGACCATGGAGACCGTGGCCCAGTAGAGACCTTACTGTGAGGCTTGCAGGGGCAGTGGCCATGGAGGCCGTGCTGAACGAGCTGGTGTCCGTGGAGGATCTGAAGGTGAGGCCTGGGACATAGGAGGAGAGCAGACTCGGCAAGGGCAGCTCCTGAGGAGAGCTAGCCGAGGCCGAGCACCGCTGGCTTCGACTTGTTGGGGAAGCTGGACTACGGCTCCCAGCAGCCTCTGCGGTATCCTGCTTCTTGTGGGTACCTGCGCTGTGATCCTGGGCCTGATGGGAATTGTAGTTTCCAGGGTTTCGGCACCTCAGCCTTGCGGCCTTGAGTCTAAGGGGGCTAAGTGTGATGCAGAGTTGAGAATTTGGAGTACTCATGCAGGCGATGAGGTAGCATAGTCACCGGCATACGCTTTTGCAAGTGTTGAGCCCGGCATGGTTCACTGCATGCCTAGCCTTCGTCCTTGCAGTGCCGTTTTCTTTCCTCTTCTAGAACTAAGGTGAGGCAGATCCAGGCCCAAAAGAATGGGGGGTGGAAAGGGACCAGCAGCCGTAAGCGAAGGTCGCTTAGGAGATCATTTAGCTGCTGGGGCAGTATGTTTACTGTTCAGCTTCTTGGGGTCAGCTGGTCCGGGAGCAGTGCCCGCAGCTGCCACCAGGTGGCATCTCCACTTGGTACCACTAGGGGCTGGGTGCAGGGACCTTCCGAGGGGAGGGCGCCGAGCCTGGGTACCAAGATCTGCAAGGGGAAGGTGGTCTAGCTGGGACTAGACACCGAGTTCAGCTGGGGAACGGTGGATGCCCTTTGCTTATAAATGATGTCTTTTCTCTCTAACGACAGAATTTTGAAAGGAAATTTCAGTCTGAGCAGGCGGCTGGCTCAGTATCCAAAAGCACACAATTTGAGTATGCCTGGTGCCTGGTGCGAAGCAAATACAATGATGACATCCGTAAAGGCATCATGCTCCTGGAGGGTAAGGCGCTGGGTCCCTTGACCTCACCCCTCCAGGATCCTTTTCAACATGGAACCCTCACCCCATGGCTCATTCGTCACCCAGTAACCACCAGTAACTTCACCGCAGCAGAGGACTAGGTTGCTCCCCTGTATCCCCAATTTCAACATCCAAACATTCATTCGGATGGAAAATGCTGTGGGAAAAAAAATACATGTTCTCAGGCAACTCAGAGTGCTTCTGTGCAGGTATAAAGACCTGAGTTCGAATCCCCAGCTCCCATGGAAAAAGCTGATAGTCGTGGCTGCAAATGTCTGTATAGAGAATAGAAATGAGGTATTGCTGGGGGCTTTCTTGCTGCAATCTTAGCCCCGGTGCAGAGGAAGACTTTCTCAAGGGAATGGGGTAGAGAGGCCTCTGGTCTGTGTGTGCATGTGCACACAGCTACCCGTACATACCACGCACACACACAGTATCCACGTAACACTTCTTGTTCGGTTATTAATTGCTGTTAATGTAGCATTTACATTGTGTTGGGTAGCTGTAATTAAGAAAGTTCTAGAGATTAGAATATCTGTGGGGCTGTTGTATTAAGAGCATGTGATCCCAGCGCTCCATCCAAAGGTGGAGGCATGGGGGCGTGACCGCAGAGATGAAAGCAGGAAGTTGAAGTCCAGAGTCAGTTCCGTATCAAACTCGAGGTCAGCCTGGGCTACCCCCGAGCTCCCTGTCTTGAAAAGGCATCTTTGGGGAATACAGCTAGGTGCTATGCAAATACAGTTTAATTTTATATAAGGGCCTTTATATCTGTAGGTTTTGGAATCTGAGGGGCATCTTGGGATAATGCCAGAGGCAATCAAAGAACGATACTAACAAAGATGCCTGCGTCCTTTAGTTTTTGGTTTTGACACAGGGTCTTTGTATCGCTTGGGACGCTTCCACGTCTGCTTCAGCCACCTTAGTGCTGGGAAGTAAGCTGTGAGCTCAGGGATCCTCCTCGTAAAAGCAAATGCTGTCCCCTACTTGGATCGGTTCGGATTCTTCAGGTTTCTTGTGTAGTAGGACACAACAGGAAAAGTGGTCTCGGAGTGTCTGAGTCTCATGAGGGGCACAGTGCAGACACTGAGAAGGTCTCAACACTGCAAAACTTAGCCTCAAAGAATGGTTGCGTACACCGGTAACTCCAGCACTCAGGAGCCTCAGGCACCTGATCGAGAGTTTGAAACCAGCTTGCTTGGGCCACATAGCGAGTGGCCCTATCTTATTCTATCTGTCTGTCTGTCTGTCTGTCTACCTACTTTTAAGACAGGATTTCTTCTTGTAGTCCAGGCTGTCCTGGAACTCACTCTGTAGATCAGACTAGTCTCAAACTCACAGAGATCCTCCTGCCTCTGTCTCTCCAGTGCTGGGGTTAAATGTGTGCACCACCATTGATAGCTCTGAGTCCTAATCTTAACCCCTACCTATCCCACATGCGCGGAGAGAGAAAAAAATTAAAAAAAAAAAAAAGTCAGGTGATGGTCGCTCAGGAAAATTAAGAGAAAAGGGTGCGTTGTAGTGATGTGTGTCTTTAGTTCCAGGACTCAGGAGGCAGAGGCAGGTGGGTCTCTGTGAGTTCGAGGCCAGCCTGGTCTACAGAGCGAGTTCGGGACAGACAGGGCTACACAGAGACACCCCGTCTCGGGGAAAGGGGAAAGCTCAGTCAGCAGAGTGCCTGTCTCCTGTGTACGGGACTGAAGCCATGGTCCAGTTCCACACACACACACACACACACACACACACACACACACACACACCCGCCCCCTCTGGCATCGCAGAAACCAGGTGTGGTCCTGTACTCAGGAGGCGGCAGCAGGAGGCTTAGAGTTCTGGTCGTCCTCAGGTAGCTGTCACAAAAGAGGAATGCAAATGTCCGGCAGGAGTGACCTTGCAGTGAGACCAGTAGCTGGCCAGTGGGGATGCGCCCTTCCATGCAGACTGCAGCAGTGTGGACCAGGTCGCTGGTTCCCAGCATCCGCACGGGGCTGTCACTAGAAAGCAGAGGGTGATAGAAGCTGATAATGGAGGTCTAGGACAGTGACCTTCCCAGCATCCTAGTGAGTCAGCATGGCAGGACCTGTGGGGCGCAGTGTTAAAAAGAGGATCCAGGGGCTGGAGAGACGGCTCAGCAGTTAAGAGCTTTTCACAAGGACCTGGGTTCACCTCCCAGCTACCACGCAGCAGCTCACAACTATCTATAACTCTGGTTCCAGAGGATCCGAGTACCCTCACACAGACATGCATGCAGGCAAAACACCAGTGCACATCAAATAAAATAAATATAAATTTAAAAAACAAGAGAGAGAATCCATCTTTCTCCTCTCCCTTCTCCCTCCAGAGCTGTTGCCCAAAGGGAACAAAGAGGAACAGCGGGATTACGTCTTCTACCTGGCGGCGGGCAACTACCGACTCAAGGTAAGGCGCAGAGTCCTTCTTCCCATTGCTCATTCTGCTTGAGCCCCCCAGACAGAGCCCTGGCCCTCAGGAAGCGAGCAGCGGGCAGTGGGCTGGAGTGTAAGTGCATGGGTATACAGTAATTCCAGGACAGACTCTAAGGGAGGATGAGAGTATCAGGGTGTGGAGATCATGGTGACGTCAGGATTGGGGTGCAGCCCTATGCCTGTAGCTGTTATCTCCACTAGCTTATCACCCCCCCACAGCTGGGCTGTTTGTGGACTCTACTCTGTGGGGTGGGGCTGTGGCAAGAGGGGGGGAGGAAGATGAGCCTGAGCTGAGGCGGGTGGGGCTGGCGGGCAGCGTCCTGACGAGCGAGCATGCGGTGTGACTGCAGGAGTATGAAAAGGCCCTGAAGTATGTGCGCGGGCTGCTGCAGACTGAGCCCCAGAACACCCAGGCCAAGGAGCTGGAGCGCCTCATCGACAAGGCTATGAAGAAAGGTGACACCCCACACACAGTCCTTTATCAAACCTACCCCCCTCGAGGGTCCCTGGAGCCCCAGCCTCCAGACTCCTCTGTGGGGGGCAGGACCGATCTGCTCACGGCCCCCTCTGTCTTTTTCAGATGGACTAGTGGGCATGGCCATTGTTGGTGGCATGGCCCTGGGTGTGGCGGGACTGGCCGGACTCATTGGACTAGCTGTCTCCAAGTCCAAATCCTGAAGACAGCCTCACCCGCTCTCTGCCCTGGTGCACCCGGGAGCCTGGGGGCCGCTGGAAGAGGGTCCTGTTCGTCCTCACCATCATCTGCCCTTCTCCTCCCCACCCCTCGTCATCCATCTCTGCCGTCTCCGTGACCTTCAACCTCTCATCCCCCAGCACCTGTTGTTTAGCCCTGAGTCAAGCTTTGCAATGAGTGTAAATAAAATTGGGCTGCGGCTTGGGAACCTCTGTGCTGGAGAGTCTGTTGAGGGAGGAGCGGGTTCACCGGGTGCACTGTGGCCCCCGCTACCCCCCTCCAGGTTCCTTTGCCTACATCCCAGCCCACACCCTTCCTTCCTCCCCTATCCTGAATGCACAAGGCAGGAACAGGGAACAGCTCGGAGTACATGGCCTTTCCATCGCCCCAGAATCCTGGGAGAACAGCAAACAGAAGAGGGAACAGCAGCCTGGGATTTATGACCGTGGTCTCCTCTGACCCACTAAGCCGCCTGGAGTTTTCCACTGCAGGGGGCCCCCACTGGGCTTCCTCCGAAAACCTCCGCCCTTCCCTCCCTTTGTCTTCCCGCCCCCTCCCCTTCCTCCATCCAGTCCTTCTTAGGGGGGCATGGATGGATGACGTAGTATGAGAGAGGAAGCTGTATGAAGATGCCAGGGGCTGTGGGGGTTGTCGGGCACAGGATACCCCAATCCCAGCCTGTGAGACAGGAGGCAGAGAGCTCACAGACCTCACCCCACGCCCCCTGTGCCAGGCTCTGCGTGGGCCTGTTTGGCTTCCCGGCATACTTATCATTCCACAGCCCCTGCCAGGCTTGCTGTGGGGGGGGGGGAGGTACCTGGGGGGAGCACGGAGGAGTCTGGTGCAGGAAAAGGATGGGGGTGTCAGAGGGCATGGCTTTGTCTCACATACTCCAGAAAGGGAACCCTGGTGCCAACTCACCAAGCGAGACGTGGTCAAGAAGGAAATCTTTATGCTCAGACAGGTGCGCAGCCAGGATGGAGTAGGGGGACCCAGAGGATGGATTAACAGAGCTGGTGATAAGTTCCCAGTAAGTGAATAGGCAGAGAGATCAACCAGAATCATTTCCTAGGCCCGTGATCCATCCCCCAACCCTGGGCCCCTGGGTCCTTGGCAGCGAGATCAAGCTCAATACCGAAGCGTCAAAGGTCAGCTCCGGGAGGGACAATTCAGGAAGTTTGGAGGAAAGTAGCATTGGTCGCCTCACCTCAGCCTGCGGCTTTCAGATCCAGGGCAATTACCAACTGCTGGGGCGATGGGAGTGTGCCGGGAGCTGTGATCTGTGGTCCCAACTCCCATTACAACCTAAGAAGCCAATCATGTTGTGTCAACAAGGCTGAGAGCCAAAACCTCCAGCCCTTTGATAATGCTGGAGTCTAGTGGGAACCAGGTGGCTGGGTTCCAGAGCTTCTGTCGCCCCGGAATCAACCTTCCTGGTCCTCGGGGGATGTAAGTGTCCCAACTTGGGGTCTTCAGTGACTTGGGTTGCTCTTGGGGGTCTCAATCCATCGCAGAAGCCTGTGGTGGGCCCGTTGGAGGTTCTCTCTTGACACGCTGATCTCTCAGCTACTGAAAACTCTGTCCCTCTCATTTCCCGACCCTGGTGACAGCTGAGTCAGAGACAGGCCACTTCCCCTGGATTCCTGATGGATCCCTGGGGGCTGCTCCTTCCTTGGCTGTATCCCTGAGTCTCCTAGTAAGTCCAAGCTCCCCCCCCTCCTAGGGCGGGGAGTCCCGGGCTAGGCCGGGGGAGGGGGTGGACTTTTGGCCCGTTTATTCCCTCCATCGCAGTCAACAGCTGCTGAGCGGAGCAGGCTTGGCTCATTCCTCTGACCTGCCAGGAAGGAGAGAGTCCCAGAGACTGGGCCGAGACAATCAGACCTGAGCTCCAGGAGAAGGCAGACGAGGATCGCAGCTGCACGGCCCGTCCTACACCCTTCTCCCTCCTTAGTCTCCAGAGCCCCCAGAATTCACCTGGAGGTGCCACATCTATCCCAATCCCTGGGGCTCCAGCCCCTTGGGGGATCTGCATCCCAGCATGTCGATAGCTGTGGAGACCTTCGGCTTCTTCATGGCAGCCTTGGGACTGCTGATGCTGGGGGTGACCCTACCCAACAGCTACTGGAGAGTGTCCACCGTCAATGGGAACGTCATCACCACCAACACCATCTTTGAGAACCTATGGTACAGCTGTGCCACCGACTCCATGGGAGTCTCCAACTGCTGGGAGTTCCCTTCCATGCTGGCCCTCTCTGGTATGGGGTGAAGGGGGCTCGAGGGGACAGAGGGAGATTGGGTGGCTGGCTGGAGATATCCTAGAGGACAGGTTGGAGGTGGTTGCCGTTGGTCTGGCCTTGGGCACCATAATGACAAGTTCAGGTCAAGCCCTCGGTTCCGGGCGGCTGCAGCGAAAAGTCCTGCATGACCCAGAGCTATACATGGCTCCCTGTCCTAACGTGTGACCCTCCCTAGCTAAGTCAAGCTTCCAGGTGCAATTCAGGCCTTTGCTAGCTCCAGCCGCAAAAGAGTGATGGTCTTGGATGATGAATTTGGTCTTGGCCATCCGCAAACTAAGAGCAGTCATGGTGCCGGTGCGCGAGTGGTCACGAGGCCTCTAGGCAACAAAACTTGCTGGTGTGAATGGGACGTTGACTATATATATTTTAGTGTTTTATTCTGGGGAATGTTTGCTCAGTTGGCAGGGGTGAGACCAAGACTCCATCTTGGTTGATTGACTGCTAGCCCCAGTAACCCTCTGGACATTAACAGACTGTGGTCTACCTACCCTGCTGAACTTGAGGGCCCTCAACGCAGCTCGCTTATTGTGGAGGAGAGTCTCCTGAAAGTCTGGGTGGATGCTGGAGAGTGGTTATGTGGACATGCATGTATATTTGGGGCTCAGAGTGTGGCTTTTGTTGTTTTGTTTTGTTTGAAGGTGTTAGCATGCTACCGCATGCAGCTCTAACTTGGGCCCTGGCGTTCCTTTGCTACCTGCATTGCCTGCCCCTTGCTCCCCTGCACAATAACCCTCCGTCGCTCCCCGTGCCGTCACTTCCCCCAAGGGGTCCACTTGGACTTCCTAGTCTCCCCCATGCTACAGAGACCAAGAGCTGATGACCGCAAACCCTCCCTGGTTGCTCCTGCCAGTAGGTTCCGATCTTGCCTTTCGAGGAATCCGACTGTAGATGATGAGCAGGTGGGAGGCTCTGAGGCCCCCCAGGGTGGGAAAGTGGGTGCTGGGAAATGGCCCCATCAGTCTGGAAGGTGCCCTGAGCAGTGATGGTGTCTGGGTGGATCACAAACTCAGAGCAGTAAGTGCCCAGAAGGGACCATAGATGTGGGCAACTCGGCGCCCAGCCAGCCTGCTGCATCCCCGGTGTGCAGAGGGCATTTGGTTGTGAGCCTGGCCACTCAAGAGGGGCCTCTCACCGTGTTGCTGCTCTTTGCCTGCAAGAGAACATGAATTTGGAGGAAAATCACATGGGAGGTTGCTGGGCGTGATGGAGGATGGAAAGCCTTGAGGCCTCCAGGCCTCCAGGGCTGGAATCACTTCCCTTTTGTGTTTTTGGGTTTGGGTTGTTTTGTGGGATATGTGTGTGTGTGTGTGTGTATTTATGTGTGTGTGTGTGTATTTATGTTTGTGTGTGTGTATTTATGTGTGTGTGTGTTTATGTGTGTGTGTGTGGTATTTTAAGGCATGGTGTTGCTATGTAGTTCGTTCCCCGACCTCACTATGTGGTCCTAGGCTGACCCTAAGCTCGGAAAGATCCTCTTGCATTGGCCTCCTAGGTGCTGGGATTACAGGTGTGCATCACCGTATCTAGCTCTTCCTTTTATACGGACACTGCCCTTCCCCCATGTACATCTGTGCTTTTCAGAAATATTTGCATCATTAGCTGGACCACTCTGCAGAGCTAAGCACCCCGCCTAGAGGCCGAGGAACTGGAGAGGAAGCTGTGATTCTAATCCACTGTGTCTGGGCTGAGGACCAGTTTCTTCCTCTGTGGTCTGCTGAGTCCCAAGAGGGATCCTATCTGTTTGCACCCAGTACTAGAGGTTAAACTAAGGACTATATGCATGCTAGACCATACCCTCTGTCCCTCACTGGGGGATTCTAGGCTGGTGTTCAAGCTCTAAGAGCCACCCTACCCCAGCCCCTCCCTGGGGAATCACAAGCAAATGCTCTACCTCTGAGGTAGCGCCCCAGCCCTCTTCTTATTTATTATTTTCATTTTATTGGGTTGTTTTGTTTTATTTTTTGTTTTTGTTTTTGAGGCAGGGTTTCTCTGTGTAGTCTTGACTGCCCTGGAACTCACTCTGTAGACCAGGCTGGCCTCGAACTCACAGAGATCCGCCTGCCTCTGCCTCCTGAGTCCTGGTATTAAAGGCGTGCGCCACCACCACCCAGCTTTCTTTTTATTTTTCATTTTGAGACAATCTTGCTGAGATGCCCAGGCTGGCCTTGACTTTGCAGCCCCCTTGCCTCAACCTCTCGGGTACGAGGGTGATTTCCCACATAGCTCACCTAGCCAAGCCACTGTGACCCTGGACCCACGCACCTGCAGGTCCTTCGGTCATCTTTCCTTTCTCTATCAGCGTTCTCTGCACATTAGGAATTGGTGGGTCCTGGAGAGATGGCTCGGCGGTTAAGAGCACTGACTACTCTTCCAAAAGACCCTGGTTCAGTTCCCAGCACCCGCATGGCAGTTCACAACTGTCTTAACTCCCCAGGAACTGACACCCTCACACAGGCATACACGCAGGCAAAACACCAATGTACATAAAATAAGAATAAATAAGTTAAAAAATAAAACTGGTGGGAAGCCAGGTGTTGGTGCACACCTTTAATCCCAACACTTAGGAGGCAGAGGCAGGTAGATCTCTGTGAGTTCAAGGCCAGCCTGGTCTGCGGAGTGAGTTCCAGGACAACCAGGACTGTTTCTGAGAAACCCCAGTCTCCGGAAAAAACAAAAACCAAACCAAACCAAACAAACAAACAAAAATGGTGGGGAATTCTAGAAGGTGCGGCTGGGAGTCATAATGTCCTCTCAGAGAACTTTGTCCCTCCTCCTCACCTCGTAACTCCACCGTGCTATGGGCCCCACCCGGGAAAGGGGTACAAGGTCCCCGAGAGTGCTTGACAGCCGTCAAAAGCAGGAGGAGCTAGCAGCTTTCCTCGTCTTTGAGAAAAGGGAAACTGAGGCACCAAAAGATTATGAGCTGAAGTGACTGGGATGAGTTCGTTGGCTTAGGTTTCCCAGCTCCCCAGCTCCCACCCCCACTCCCCACCCCCAGCTCTAGACCATCTGTCCTGAGTCACTACTGCCCCCTGCTGGTCACTCCAGAAGAAACTCAACTCCAACCCAGCGTGTCCGTGGGGTTGGAATGTCCGCACAGGCCTGTAATCCCAGCAACCCAGGAGCTGAGGCAGGAGAATCAAGAGTTACCTCAAGATCATCCTCGACAACATAGCCAGTTTGACCTTGTCTCAATCAATCAATCAACCAAACAAACAGGCAGGGGATGTAGCGCCGCCTGTTGGTAGAGTGCTTGCCTAACATGCTGAAGTTCTAGTGAGATCCCGAGTCCTTCAGAGAGGCAGGCTTGTGGACTGACATTCTTTATAAGAAAAGGAGAGGATGGGAGGAGGCATGGAACCCTCACCCCAACCTCCCAGTCACCCCTCCCAACCATTTGTTTGCAATTCTACCCTAATCGCATGGGTGTCTTAGGGAGAGGCTGGAATATGTGTGTGTGTACTTATATGTGTGTGTGTGTGTGTGTGTATCTATGTGTGTGTATGTATGTCTCCCCTCGAGGGGACAGCTAGGAGACGGGGCTTCATCTCTTTGGCTATGGGAGCATCGTCCATGCCGGGTGAAGACTGTTGTGGCTGCTTTGGGTCAGCCATCCTTCTGCCAGTTAAGCACTCTCTGTGCTCTCTGTGTGTGAGGCAGCCCAGTTAACTCGCTGGTTCCCCCAAGGTGGTATTTGGTGGAATCCTACTTTGGTTTGTTCTCCTGGGACCTCAAGAGGAAGGAGTAGACATCGGTTATATTCCCCCAGGGAAGGAATTTGGCAACACCTGGGTCGAATCCCCAGGTCTGGTTGTGTGTGCCTGTCATGCTAGCCGTGGAGACGGGTGGAGGGATGGGACGCGGACCGACGGACACAACACAGACGAACATGGGACGATGGCAAAGGATCAGAAGCTTAAGGTCACGCTCAGTTATTTAACAAATATGAGGCCTGGGTTTAAGTTTGTTTGAGTGTTTTGGTTTGTTTTTTGTTTGTTTGTTTGTTTGTTTTTGAGACAGGGTTTCTCTGTGTAGCCCTGGTTGTCCTGGAACTCGCTCTGTAGACCAGGCTGGCCTCGAACTCACAGAGATCCGCCTGCCTCTGCCTCCCGAGTGCTGGGATTAAGGGTGTGCGCCACCACCAGGGCCAGCACCCTTCCCCTCATTTTTTTAGTTTCGACAGTAGCACCCCTGCAGGACGAGGGAGCCAACAGGGAGGTTGATGTGAATCCCAGAGAGGAAAATTGCGAGGAGCTTTAGGTGCTAGAGACCAGTGGGACAGCATGGCGGCCGAGGGACGTGCGGAAGAGAATCACTGACGGCTTCATTCCGCCCGCTCCCCAGGGTATGTCCAGGGCTGCCGCGCCCTCATGATCACTGCCATCCTCCTGGGCTTCCTGGGCCTCTTTCTGGGCATGGTGGGGCTGCGCTGCACCAACGTGGGAAACATCGATCTCTCCGTGAAGGTCAAGATGCTGGCCATTGCAGGAACCTTCCACATCCTTGCTGGTAATGAGGGAGTAGGGGGTGCGTGGGTTAAGGAGGCCCTCGCCACAGTCCCCAGCGGCTTCTCCTGTCCTCCTCTCCTGCTTTCAAGCGTATCTCACCTTCTCCTCATTGACCCCTGCTGTCTCTTGGCCATCTCTCCCTGTTCCCTACCCTGTCTGTACTCTGCAAATCTCTAGACCACAACTTAGTGTCCAAGAGTAGGGCTGCCCCGCACACAGCTGAGCCACATCCCTGCCAGGCCTGAGAGGCTATTTCCTCCAAAACTTACGGGGGATCAGAGTCAGGGTGTACACACACACACACACACACTCACAGTAACAACGCTATAGACGGCCTATACCTTATTGTCCAGCTTGTTACATTTCTGCACACGTTTCTTCACAATAAACCATGCAGAACTGGTAAGCAAAGAAATGGATTTTGAGGTGACCCAAGATTGGTCCAGGTATCCCCGGGGTGGATGGGAAGAACCAACTTCTGAAAGTGAGCGCCTGTACTCACACACATACCCCCGCACACCAATAGTAGTAAAACAATAATATTGATAATAGTCATTTTAAAAAATCCAGACAGGGTGGGTATTTCCCATTTTCTAGATCTGAAGGTTTGGAAAGGTCCCTCAGCCAGCGTGACAAGTGACGGGTGATAACCCACAGGGATGTCTGTCGGGGCAGGAAAGACTTTCTTGACAGCCAGGCTTTCAAAGACAGGGGTCATGATCATTTTCTCTGCCAGCTAAAGAATTAAGAGGCAGGGGAAATCTCAAGCTGGCCAGGTAGCAGAGAGAAACCTTGAACGCAGCAGATGAATCAGCAGGTGAGAAAAGGCATTTGTCGGGGATGAGGAGACACACACATGCAGCGGACACACAGAGGAACACTCAGCAAGGCAGAGGGGGAACTGAGAAGCCAAAAGTCCAGGATCTTTTGAAGGCGGGACGTTTAAGTCTGAAGAGCCTTTCCTCTTTAGGGTTGGTCAGTGTGAAGAAAGACAGGATGACTGATTGGCCCGCAGCTGTTGCATAACATGTCCTGATCCAGCACTGAACCGATGAGCCAGTTCACCCATGGGCAGGAGGAAAAAAAGCCGACGAGGCCCTTGTCTTAAGCTGCCAGGCTTTTGTCCCAAGTCCAGAAGGGAGGGGGAAGCCAGCCATCTTAGAAGTTCACCATCTTCATGACCTAGGCATGGCCACTCTCCTTGTCCCCCAGGGACTCTTTCTAAATCCTAGCCCCTCAGTATATTTGAGGGCTAGCAGGCATAGAGCTGTGTGGCCAGCGATAGATGATAACCCACAGGGAGGTCAGCAGGAATCACCTGCTGATTCATCTGTTGTGTTCAAGGTTTCACTCTGTTACCTGGCCAGCTTGAGATTTTCCCTGCCTCTTAATTCTTTAACTAGCAGAGAAAATGAAGCCAATCATGACCCCCTTCTTGAAAGCCCAGTTGTTCCATCCCCTGCACTGAGTTAACTCTGTAGTGGCTCACGACTATAATCTCAAGAGGTAGCAGGATCAGGGTCATGCCAGGCTACGTGGTGAGTTCAAGGGCAGCCTGTTAGGAATATTTTCTAATGTGAGCTCTCTGCCAACGCAAAATAATCCCAATCAAGCCAAATCAGACCAGATTAAAAAATATCCAGATTTAATTAGACACCTCCGCTCCTGGGTGGCCCCGAGGGAACAGGAAGTCGCCAACATGACCACTGGAAAGGAAAAGGGAAAACCACGTGTTTATTTTTGGGGGAGGAGTTTAAATAGCCTCTGCTGTGCACTGAGTCACAAGGTGACGATCAGTAACACAGGAAGAAGAAAAGCTTTAAGGATGAACCAAAGTGGTGCATCACCAAGTAATATAGCTGAGAAACCAAGACACAAATGAACCAAAGGGCATGGATCCCAAGTGGCTCACTGAAGTGAAAATGGTGAGCAGAAGAAAAATTGAATGGTCTTGACCTTTCCTGGAGAGGGGTCAAGGTTCAAGGGGCACAGGGGAGGGGCCTCCAAAGATGGAGGCTGGGTTTTACACAGCCTCGGTTTCATAAAATTGTCTTTAAAAATGTAAGATATCCCACTGAGCAGTGGTGACATACACCTTTAATCCCAGCACTTGGGAAGCAGAGGCAGGTGGATCTCAGTGAGTTCAAGGCCAGCCTGGTCTACAGAGCAAGTTCTGGGATAGCCAGGACTGTTACACAGGGAAACCCTATCTCAAAAAAATAAAATCAAACAGAGAACAAAAAAAGTAAGATATCCTAGGACTTAAGTGGCCTAAAGGCTGCGTTTGAATGTGTCTGGGCCACAGGCTGTGTCTGGGACAGATGAAAGGGACTATTTCTCTTGGACATGATGTCCAGTCCCTCAAACCCCTCAGAGCTTACTTGCTTTGAGAGGTTGTGACCCAGAGGACCACCCCCACCCTTTTCTCCAGGTACCTGCGGGATGGTGGCTATCTCCTGGTACGCTGTCAACATCACTACTGACTTCTTCAACCCCTTGTATGTTGGAACCAAGTAAGTGAGGAACCCTGCCCTTGGGGACAATGGGTAGGTTTCGGCCTAGCCCCTCTGGGCTGGCACTTACCTCTTCCGCTCCCCAGGTACGAGCTGGGCCCTGCTCTCTACTTGGGCTGGAGTGCCTCCCTGCTCTCGATTCTGGGCGGCATTTGTCTCTTTTCCACCTGCTGCTGTGCCTCTAAGGAGGAACCAGCCACCAGGTAAGGAGAGGGAGGAGGATGGAGGGAGGACGACGACATGCCGTGACCACCTGTGACCCTGCCTTCCTCTCAATTCCACAGGGCCAGGCTTCCCTATAAGGCTTCTACGGTCGTGATACCCAAAACCACTTCGGACGAAAGCAATGTCAGCTTTGGCAAATATGGCAAAAACGCCTACGTGTAGGAGCTCTGGCCTGGTGGACATGGTTTCCTGCCCTCCTAGCCCCAGCGAAAAAGTGTCCCCAGGATGCTCGGACCAGTCTCCAGTTAATAACCTCAGGACAGGCCATTTCCAGGCGCCACCCTGTGCCTGGAAGCCATGACCTGCTCTGGGCATACCTTCTCTGGCACTCCAGCCTCTCCCAGGAACAGAAGCTGCGGGGGGCAACTCACATGGCCTCCTACAGCTGGACCCAAGGGGACAGAGGTGTCTGCAGCTTGTGATGCCATATAAATACATGCATAAATAAATGTATATTGTGATTGTTCAGGGGCTTCAGGGGCCACGAAGTTGCAGCCGAGTGAGGGGCTCACTCTTAAACCACAGACTGTCAATATTGTCCACTTTTGAGCTGTCTTGTCCAGTGAGGATCTGAGTTCAAATCCCCAGAACCCATGTAAAAAGCCAGGCAAGGTCACACTCCCATACCCCCAGCGCTGTTGGGAAGGCTCTCTGAGGCTTACTGGCTTCCAGCCTATCTCCAGGTTCAATGTGAGACCCTGTCTCAGAGGTCTAAGGCAGAGAATGATAGAGAAAGTGCTGGAAGCCCTCCTCCGACCTGTGCAGGCACACAGACTGTGCACAAACAGCACGCACAGGTTCTCAACAAAAGGCATTGCCAGTACCCACCTCAGGGAATTATTGCTAGCTGGGATGCTCCCTGGCGTCTCTCTCTCTTGACTCTTAATCTGTGTTCTTCCAGCTGCATGGAGGAGCTGTTAATCCAGAACAGGTGTCTCTCTGTGTGTGTGTATGTGCGTGTGAACTAGATTTGGGGTTTAATAAAGATATTTTAAAAGATGCATTATTTACATGTGTGTGTGTGTTTCTGTGTACCATGTGCCTGCAGGTACCTGAAGAGACCAACAGAGGGCACCAGATCCCCTGGCACTGGAATTACAGGCGGTGAGCTGACGTCTGTGGGTGTTGGGAGCAGAATCTTGATCCTCTGTCAGCTGCTAGTGCGCTTATCCACAGAGTCATCTCTTCAGTCTCTTAATAAAGATATTCTAATGTAGACAGAAGCTCAAGCGTCGAGAGAGGACCTTATAAGAAAGTGATACCTGCTGGGCAGTGGTTGTGTGTGCCTTTATCTCAGCTCTTCAGGGAGGCAGAGGCAGAGGGATCTCAGTGAGTTCGAGGCCAGCTTGGTCTATAGAGTGAGTTCCAGGACAGCCACGACTGTTTCAGAGAGAAACCCTGTGTCGAAACCATACACCCCCTCCAAAAAAACTCCAAGCCCACCTGCCTAGGGATGGAAACACACCCAGTGGGCTGGACCCTCCCTCACCAATGAACAACTAAGAAAACTCCCCACTTGCCAATCTGATCCAGTCAGTCCCCCACTGAGACTCCTTCAGATAATTTTGGGCTGTGTCAGTTAACAGCAGAAGTGAACCAGAACACCCACGGTTGTTTTGCACCTACCATGTACACAAATACTCACACACACACCAGAAGAGAAAGGAAGGAAGGAGGGAGGGAAGAAGGAAGGAAATGAAGCCACTAGACAGAAACCTTTAGTCCAGTGGGAGAAAGGGACGGGCTTCTGACTGGTGTCTCCTGCAGCTGAGTGGTGACCGGGCAGGATCTGCCTCTGGGTTCTTCTAAGCAGCCCTTTCTTTTTCTATAACAAACCCACTCAATTGCATCGGCTCCCCTGCCTGCCTCTTCTTTCCTTTTCCTTTCAGAAAGCCTGAGCCGAGTTGCACAACTGCACACTTAACTGTATTGAGCATGACCGTTGGGCTGGGCTTCTGTTTCTTCAGTCACTGTGTGGTCACATAACTATAAAAGACCAAGGGCAACTTTAAAAAAAACAAAACAAAACATTCCCCCCCCCCCTTTTTTTGAGACAGAGTTTCTCTGTGTAGCCCTGGCTGTCCAGGAACTCACTCTGTAGACCAGGCTGGTCTCAAACTCAGAGATACACACCTGCCTCTGCCTCCTGAGTGCTGGAATTAAAGGCGTGCGCCACCACTGCCTGACTAACGAAGACATTTAGGTACTTTGTGTGTGTGAGAGTACACACATGTGTGCCAACCATACGTGCAGAAGCCAGGACAACTTGTGGGAGTCAGTCCCAGGGATCGAACTCGGGTCCTCAGACTCAGCCACAAGTGCCTTACCCACTGTACCATCTTACCAACCAAAATTTTAGGGAGAACTTGTCTCAAAGAGCAAAACAAACTCACAGAACTGGATCTCATTAGTAGCTTATTAAGGTCATTTGTTCAACAACTACTTAGGACACCCTGCTGTACTTAGCAGGGTAATTTCCAGGGTTACGTGATTACAGCTTGCAATCCACTTAGAGAAGCAGTGATCTGTAAACACCACGTCAGTCTCAGCAGCCAGCACCATTGGCAACGGGACCTGGGACTTCCCGGGAACGGCTCGGTCGTACGCTGTAGTAATTCCACACACACTCCACTTCTGACATCCTAAGGAGACAGGACAAGCACCAGCCTGACTGAGCCACTAAAGTGTCAGACAGAACTGGTTCCCTCTCCTATCATTTTGCAACGCTCCTCCGCCCTTGTTCCACTTGCCCAGGTACCTAGCCCTTGAAGCTAGCTCAAAACTGCAAACACACGAAGGGCTGGTGATAGTGCAGTCTGTAATCACAGCTGCTGGGGAGGCAGGAAGATCAGGAGTTCAAGGCCTGCTGGAGCTAGAGCAGGTCAGTCTGGACCACCTAGTGAGATCCTGTTTAAACTGCAAAATGAAAAGTGAGCTGGGGGGGGGGGGGTAGCTCAAGGGTGGAGTGTTTACCCAGAACCCTCCAGGTGAAGCCTGTTAGGTGAGGTTCTGTAGAAGAGCTTGGGCAATATATTAAACTCCATAAAAATAAATAAATAAGAGTAAGAGTGAGAGTGAGAGTAAGAGAGAGAGAGAGAGAGAGAGAGAGAGAGAGAGAGAGAGAGAGAGAAACAGAGAGAGATGCAAAAGAGGAGGGAACAGGAGTAGAGGGGAGGAAGGGAGGAGAAAGAAGTAAAAATAAGCTCAGAACCAGAAAGATTAAAAGTATCCCTTCTGGGGCTGGGCAGTGGTGGCACATGCCTTTAATCCCCAGCACTCAAAAGATAGAAGCAGGTGGATTTATTTGAGTTTGAGGCTAGCCTGATCTACAAGAGCTAGTTCCAGGACAGCTAGGACTATTACACAGAGAAACCCTGTCTTGAGGAACCAAAAAAAAAAAAAAAAAAAAAAAAAGAAAGAAAAAAAGAGAAAAGAAAGAAAGAAAAAAACCTTCCAAATTGGGTATGGTAGCACATGCTTTAAATCCTAGCACTCAGGAGGCAGAGGCAGGTGGATCTCTGAGTCTGAAGCCAACCCGGTCTACAGAGGGAGTCCTAGGACAGCCAGGGCTACACAAGAAACCCTGTCTCAAAACAAAACAAATCCAAAAACCCTACTTCCTTCCAAACTAAATTCCTAAGAATAACTAAGAAATAGGGCCGGTGAAGATGGTTCAGCGGACAAAGACGTGTGCTGCCAAGGCTGGCAGCTTGAGTCCGACTCCGGGAACCAGCGTGGTGGGAACACACACACACACACACACACACACACACACACACACACACACTGCCAGGGCTGACAACTTGATTCCGACTTCTGGAACCAGCGTGGTGGGAACACACATACACACGCTGTTAAATCTTCAAAAACAAGGGAAAAACTCGAGGCAAACAACAGGAGGTGAAGAAGAGGGATTGTAACAGGACACTAACCACCAGGGTTGATGCAGCTGGCCTCGCTGGCTGGCTGGGATCCCTCCCTCCTTAGCCCCTCTACAAGCTTCCAGAAGCTATGACCTCTGGTGAAGAGATGCCTGCCCCCAAGAGGAGGAATTTTTTAACTTTTATTGTTTTTATGTATATGCGTTTATTGTTCTATGCATGTGTCATTGTTTTATGTACGTTTATTGTTTTATGTGTCTTTATTGTTTATGTTTATTGTTTTATGTGTTTGTTTTATGTATGTGTTATTGCTTACTTATTGTTTTATGTATGTATGTTTTGTCTTCACATATATCTTTGCAACCCCAAGCATGAGCATAAAGCACCCTCAGAAGAGGGTGTCAGATCCCCTAAAACTGGAGTTACAGATCGTAGTGTGGGTGCTGGAAATCGAAACTGGGTTCTCTAGAGGAGCAACCAGTGAGCTTAACCACTGAGCCATCTCTCTAGCCCAGCAGGAAATTTTTTTCCAAAGGTACTCAAGTGGCTGTTGTTTCTTGGCTATAACAGGCAGGGCAGGGGAGATGGCCGGGCGGATAAGGCGGTGGGACCCTTGAAAGCCTGATGACTCACGGTTGGTCCTTAGCCCCCACACGTGCCATGGCTCCTATGTGCAATCCTAGCCCCTCTGCAGTGAGATGGCATGTAGGATGCTCACCTGGAAGCTCGTGGAACAGCTAGCCGGAAGCCCACTGAGGGGAGACACAGTAAAAATCTTGTCTCAACAAGGGAGAAGAAGAACTGAGTCCCTCAAACTAAAGCAGTTGCTACTCAAGGCAGAGACGAGTTAAGCGTAGCTGGAGATGGGACATAAACCCCACAACACAGAGGGCAGACAATGGAAGGCCAGAGGAGGGAAGACAGGACACATGCAGGAGCAACAGTCAATTCTGCCCTTCACCTCCAAATACCTCAGAAAAAGCCGTCAGGTTCTTTTCGCTGGGCCATTTTTGATCACTTTTTATATTTACATCTATTATAACTCTGTGGGTTAGACCAATCCCACACAGTCCCCAGGGTCCGTGTGGTCTCCATTGGTTGGCAGGACACAGCTCCGCTGGGTGAATGGACAGTTCTTCTCTCTACCCTTTGAGGATGAGCTGGGGGAAGGGTTGGGGATACTTCCTCTCCTGATGTAGGTTTACACGGTCCACTTCAGACACCTGCAGAGAGAAAAGAAGCCCGTTGGAGGTGGAGAGAGGCCCTGGATGCTGTGTGGAATGGCACTAGGGCATGGTTAGAGTCGGGCTCACCTGGTCTCCTGGTGGGTGCCCAGGCAGCGCACTGTGCAGTACCGGGCACCACAGCTCACACAGGTGTACGGGGATGGGAAGCCACATACAGCACAGAAGGGGCGCTGGGGTCGGGATGGGGGACCAGCACAGGCTGTCAAGTAGTTGGGACCCTCAGACGCACTCAGGTTCTGCAGAGACATGAAGGGACAGGCATCTTGAGTGCTCTGATCTGCCATGCAGCTGATGTCCACCAAGGACCCTTTGCTTTCGAGGGAACCACCACCACCACCAGGCCAAGGACTCTCTCACCTGCTCCTCCAGCAAAGCCTGGAAGTTTTTCCGGAAGCGAAGCTTGAAATGGTCACCTCGAGTTTTCTTCTTTTTCTTTCCTGGGGGAACCAAGGTCAGGTAGCTGCTACACAGCTGCTGTGACACTTGGGGTCTGCCTGTACCCTGACATCTCCAATCCTGGTAGCCCAGGCTGGCCATGAACTCACTATGTAGACAAGGATGACCCTGGACTGGTCCTCCTGCTTCTACTTCTCACGTGCTGAAACCACAGGCCTTTCGTTTTCGCTGACTTGACACAGGGTCTCATTACATACCCCAAGCTGACGTCAAACTCACGATATAGACCAGGTTAACCTTAGACTCGTGGCAATTCTCCTGCCTCAGTTTTCTGTGTGTTGGTGTACACACCATCATACCTGGTGCTCCATCTTTTTTACTCCACATGAAGACACGCAGGCCCAGAGAGGGGAAGACAGTTACTCCCAGCACAGGAACTAGTCATTGGCAAAGACAGGACTGGTTCCCAGACACCCTCTGCTGGACCCATCCCATATGGGCCTCCACAGCCTTGACTTCTTTTCTTTCCCAATGACAGGGATAGTTTTTTTGTTTGTTTATGAGACAGGATTTCTCCATGTAGCCCTGGCTGTCCTGGAACTAGTCTGTAGACCAGGGTGGCTTTGAACTCAGAGTTCTGCCTGCTTTTGCCTCTCAAGTTTTGGGATTTAAGGTGCACACCACTACCACCCGGCCAACAGAGATTTATTTATTTATTTATTTATTTATTTATTTATTTATTTATTTAAAGACAGGATTTCTCTGTACCTTTGGAGCCTGTCCTGGAACTCACTTTTGTAGACCAAGATGGCCTTGAACTCACAGAGATCCACCTGCCTCTGCCTCCCGAGAGCTGGGATTAAAGTCATGCACCACCACTGCTGACTTGGATACTTTTATATTCTGTATTAAAAGAGACATTCTTGAGCCGAGCGATGGTGGCACACGCCTTTAATCCCAGCACTCGGGAGGCAGAGGCAGGTGGATCTCTGTGAGTTCGAGACCAGCCTGGTCTACAGAGCTAGTTCCAGGACAGGCTCCAAAGCCACAGAGAAACCCTGTCTCGAAAAACCAAAANAAAAAAAAAAAAAAAAAAAAGACATACTTGGGCCTGGAGAGATGGCTCAGAGGTTAAGAGCACTGACTGCTCTTCCAGAGGTCCTGAGTTCAATTCCCAGCAACCAAATGGTGGCTCACGGCCATCTATAATGAGATCTAGTGCCCTCTTCTGGCATGCAAACATACATAGAAGGAATGCTGTATATATAATAAATAAATAAATCTTTTATTAAAAAAAAAAAAAGACATACTTGAAGCCAGGTGGTAGTGGCGAATGCCTTTAATCCCAGCATTCAGGAGTCAGAGGCAGGCAGATCTCTGTGAGTTTGAAGCCAGCCTGGTCTACAAGAGCTAGTTCCAGGACAGGCTCCAAAGCTATAGAGAACTCTGTCTTGAAAGAAAAAAAAAAAAAGAAAAAAAAAAAGACACACTTGAGCTAGCAAGATGGCTCCGTGGGTAAAGAGCTGCTGCCGAGTCTGACAGCCGAGGTGAATCCCCAGGGCTCACATCACAAAAGAGGGAAGCCAACTCCTGAAAGGTGTCCTGACATCCACCCGCATTCCATGCCACGGCATGCATGTGTGCACATATATGCACAAATAGAGCAACAGAAATTGTTTAAATTTAAAAAAATCTCTCTGGGCAGTAGTGGCGCACACCTTTGATCCCAGGACCTGAGAGGCAGAGGCAGGAGGATCTCTGTGAGTGCAAGGCCTGTCTGGCCTATATAGAGAGACCCTTTCTCAAAATATAGACTATAGTTGGCTGTTTTACTTCTTTGCTCTTTAGCTCCTTTGGGGGGCCCACCACACAGCTCCCAAACAAGCATATACATGGAGGCTTATTCTTACTTATAAATGCCAAGTCTTAGCTTGGCTTGTTTCTAGTCAGCTTTTCTTAAATTATCCTGTCTACCTTTTGCCTCTGGGCTTTTATCTTTCTCTATTTCTATATACCTTTCTTTACTTCTTACTTCGTTGCTTGCTATGTGGCTGGGTGGCTGGCCCCTAGAGTCTTCCTATTCTCCTTCCGCACTCCTGATCTCTCTTGTTTCCTCAACCTTCTTTTTCCCTTTCTGTTTATTCTCTCTGCCTGCCAGCCCCATCCATCCTTTCTCCTGCCTTGCTAATTGGCCATTCAGCTCTTTACTAGACCAATCAGGTGTTTTAGACAGGCGAAGTAACCCAGCTTCACAGAGTAAAACAAATGCAACATAAAAGAATGCAACACACCTTTGCATCATTAAACATATACTCCACAGCATAAACAAATGCAACACATCTTAGAATAATAGTCCACACAAACAGACAAAATCCTTCCGCAACAGGAAGAGCAGAGAAAGAACAGGCATGTACATTTATCACTAGCTTAGCACACACAGCTGTTGATAGTTTTTTGTCGAGTTAATCCCGCCCTCCCAGTCCAGGCGTCCTTGGAGGACAAAGGTAACGCCAGCAGACACTAAGTTACTCAGTGGTTCAAAGTGCCTTAGCCCACCAGCTCAGACATCCACAGAATGAGGGACAAGATCAAGGGATGACAATGAGAGACACGGTCACCACAAGTCTCAGAGACGTGACACAGAGGGGAAAGACTGACAGTCAGTCAATCCAGAATGACCGACGGCCTTTTGTCTGTGTATAACCCGCTGACTGAAGATGCATTCTCTTCTCAGATTGTCGACTCTCTGAATAAATTGAAGGTTTGAAGAACCAGGGGCTGGCAAGATTGCTCAGCAGCTAAGGGCACCTGCAGCCAAACCCAGCAACCTGAGTGACCTAGTTCAAACACTGCTACAGGGTGGAAGGCGAGAACCAGTAAGTTTCTGTCTGACCTCCACATGCAAGCATGTGCAAAACTGCGCAAACACACACATGCATAAATACACACACACACTAAAGAAACAAAAAAATGCAATAAAGATTCAGTCCCATCTCTGCTCCATGGCATCTGCGGTAACAGGTTGCCAGGAACTTCGTGACACCATCTCATCCTCTCTCCCACAACGCCCACCACACCTGTGTCTGCATCGTCATCAAACTGAGGCAGCCTCTTGCCCAGCTGGGGGAGGCCTGCGTGGGGGTCGTCCTGGAAATTGTCGTTCTCTAAAGCCTCGAGCTGTCGATTGATCCGCCGCTGCCGGGCCGCCCGGTCCAGCACCCGCCGCTGTCCAGGGTCCTGGGAGCGAACTGGATGGGACAAACAAGAGTTATGGAAGACAAGAAAGGAAGGCGGCTGGGCTGGCAGGGCAGAGAGCCACAGTCTCCCGGCCTCGCCCCAGCACTATGCTGCGGGAAGTTCCCAGCTCTTGACCCTGCTTCCTTTCAGCTGGGGGAGCCGACTTCAGCCTTTCATGCTGTTTGTCCCCAGTACCAGCAGTAACTCGAGACACAATAAATTGCAGCTAGAGAGGTGGCGCAGGGGTTGAGAGCACTTTCTGCTCTTGCAGAGTTAGAGTTCAGTTTCCCAGCACACAGGACCATCAACCACCAGGGTGATTCACAACCACCTGTAATCCAGCTCCAGGTCCTCCGTGGGCACAAATCCCTAGCCTTTATCTAGCATTCCATTCGCACATAGCAACACACACACACACACACACACACACACATATAAATTTTAAAAAGTAAGGCAGTGTATGTAGAGGATTGACACTATGTTGACCTCTGGCTTCCCTATTCAACACATCTGTGACTCTGCAGGGCCAAATCCAGGGTATGTTTCTAGAATGTTCCTTCAGCCTGAGCCGCATTCCTATGCCCTGTGACTGCACTGAATACTCTCCTTGAACTAAGAGTCTCTGTTCCTTGGCGTGACTTCCAACTGTCCTCCTGTCGCGGCTGGTGTGCTTTCCAGTCCCACGTCTTGGCCCCCCTCTTCAGGCCACCTCTGCTTGTCCTTCTATTAATAACCCCCCCCCCACCTTCAGTAGGGTCTCAGGAGGCCCAGACTGACCTGGAACTTACTACGTAGCTGGGCACGATTCTGAATGACCTCTTGTGCACCACCATGCCTGTGGTTTCTGTGGTGCTGGGGAATGAAACAGAGCTTTGTGCCTGCCAGACAAGCCCTCTACCAGCCGAGCCAAATCCCTAGCCTCTTTCTCTAGCATTTCATACTTCAAAAAGCTCATTTATTTTATGTGTTTCTGTGCGCACGTGGGTACCGCAGTACACAGGTGGAGGACAGAGGACAATTTGTGGAATTTTTTTTCTCCCATCATGTGGGTCCTAGGGACTGACTTCGACTCAGGCTTGGCAGCAAACACCCTTACCTACTGGGCCACCTGGGCAGCCCATTCCTGGTGCTTCTAACGCAAAGAAAGAGCTGTGTTCCACATAACAAGCCAGTCTCAAGCCAAACCACAGACCTGGTTACAAGACATCGAGAGGCTGAGGCAGGACCAGCCTAACTACACAGGCAACCTAGGGTACAAAGTGAAACTTGTCTCGATAAATAAAAAAGAACTTGGAGAGTGGCGTGCGTGGTGGTGGGGAACCTAAAGCCAAGGCCTTTGATTTCCTAAGCGGCTCCGTCCCCTCCATCCAGAAGCTGGGATGGGTACAAATGCTCATTGTACCCAGGCTTTGGAATGACAAGGCTCTCCTCTCCATCCCTGGTGTCTAGCTTACGGCAAACATTCACCAAAACATTCACCAAACACGAATGAATGGTTGCGGCGCTGCCCCAACGCCGGGCGAGAGGGCCTGCAAGGGGATTTGACAGGAATAACCGGGCGGCGGGGTAATGTTAAGATGGATTCGAACTTGGGATGCAGAAAAGGGCGAACCTCTAAAGGCTCACGTACCCGAGGGTTTCTTCTCCACCATTTGCGCAACAGTTGTCAGAAGAGCCTACTGCGCACGCGTATTAACCACTCGCCCTCGGCCCAAGCGCATCCCTTCCGGTGGCGTGCACACGGGCGCGTGCGCAGCCAAGCCCCGCCTACTTGAAGCCAGGCCGTGATGTTCCCTTGGAGACCAGAAAGCTTTTCCGCCATCTTTGATAGGGGCAAACCTACTTCCGGTCGCGCTGTGGTTGTTAAAAAAAAAAAACCTAGGAGCCCCTGACACCCCCCCCCGCCCCCCGCCAAGGGTCACTTTTAAAACATGGTGCGGGAGGTCTGCGGGGTCCCGGGGCGTGTCCCCGGGCAGCGGGGAGGCGTGGTGGGCAGGTTCGGGGCTCTGTGGAACCCCCGCCCGCAGCGATGTCCGCGCGATCCCGCCTCTCCGGGCCCGTCGTCCCCGCCGCGCGCCCTCGCAGGTCTCGCCGTCCAGTCCTCCTCCGGGTCCGGACTGCGGCCAAGACCCGCCCCCGCGTCCCCTGGACCCTCCCGGGGGGCTCGGATCCCCGGCTCCTCCCCACCCCCAGCCCGCGCCCACGGGACAAGCCTTGCCTTGTCTCGCCGTCTGCATCTCGGGTTTTCGGTGGCCTCGGGTTACGCCTTTTTTCCAGGGCGGAGTCCCAAGCCCAGCTCCTCCTCACAGCGGGCTCGGCTTCCCTTTTCCCAGAACCTTCTCCCAGAGCCGGAATCCAGGCGCTGAGCTCAGCCCCGTGGCGGGCCCGGGTGTCGCCTGAGGGTGCTGCTGACCATGGCTGCTTCGGGCCCGGAACCCCGGTTTTTGCTCCTGCTGCTGTTGCTGCTGCCGCCGCTGCCCCCTGTGACTTCTGCCTCCGATCGACCCCGGGGCTCGAACCCTGTCAACCCAGGTGAGAACCCGGGAGGCCGAGGGGGCAGAGACGACACGTCTGCCAGCCTGGGAGGGAGCGTCCTTTCTCACCGGGGACCCGGCGCATCACCCTCTCCCCACGCTGAAACTAGGGGCTTCCAGTCTCCCCGGACAGACAGGAACACCCCAGCCCCCATTCCTGTTTCTCGACTCTTCTGGAGACCAAATGGCCCTGAGCAGGAATTGAGGAGGGAACGGGGAGAACTTGAGTGAGATAGCAGGGAGGTGGAGGGGATACACAGGGATAAACACGTGGGTCCTAAGTGCTAATTCCTTGGCCGTGTCAGACAAATTGCTGGTGATCACTGTGGCTACGGCAGAGACAGAGGGCTACCGGCGTTTTCTGCAGTCTGCAGAGTTCTTTAACTACACCGTACGGGTGAGTGGGGGGACTCATGGGAGAAGTTCCCTCAGGAGTGGGCTGGGAGCTGGTCGTGTTGCCTCACCTTGACCTGTGGGAGTGGGTTCTTTCCTGCAGACCCTGGGCCTGGGACACGAGTGGCGAGGAGGTGATGTCGCTCGAACAGTTGGTGGAGGCCAGAAGGTCAGGTGGCTAAAGAAGGAAATGGAGAAGTACGCGGATCGGGAAGACATGATCATCATGTTTGTAGACAGGTAAAGAGGGTCTGTCTGGGTGGAGAGAGAGGGAAAACGGAGGAGCAGAGAGAAAAAGAGACCCTTTTCCTCGTCCAGCTACGATGTGATTCTGGCCAGCAGCCCGACAGAGCTGCTGAAGAAGTTTGTCCAGAGTGGCAGTCACCTGCTGTTCTCTGCCGAGAGCTTCTGCTGGCCCGAGTGGGGGCTGGCCGAGCAGTACCCTGAGGTGGGCACGGGCAAGCGCTTCCTCAACTCTGGTGGTGAGTGCCAAAGTGCCGTCAGCAGCGAGGCATTGCATGCTTCTGGTTCTTGAGGGTTGGAGAGAGAGTGGGATCCTTGGGGGTCTACTTCTCTTCTGTCCCCCAGGATTCATTGGCTTCGCCCCGACCATCCATCAAATTGTCCGTCAGTGGAAATACAAAGATGACGATGACGATCAGTTGTTCTACACGCGCCTGTACCTGGACCCAGGGCTGCGGGTAGGGAGACTCGGGACATGAGGGATGGAAGGGAGGGAAGACATGAGGGGACTTGCAGAAAGACACGGTGTCCCCTGTCCCCTCTTCGTTCACGGCTCCATCTTGTGCCGTCTAGGAGAAGCTCAAGCTTAATCTGGACCATAAGTCCCGGATCTTCCAGAACCTCAATGGAGCCTTAGGTGAGGAAGAAGATGGTTCGAAGTAGGTGATGAGGGATGGGTTCCTGCCAGAACTGGGCTGGTCTACGGATGACCAGTGTGCTAACCTATCCAACACCTAAGCGCATTATATTGTGTTAGCAATAGTGAGACTGTGAGTGTGGCCCTGCAGCAGAATGCTGCTGAAGGTTTGCCAGTGAGGGGCTGGGGGTGGCTCAGTGATAGAGCACCTGCCTAGAATCCCCCAGTGAGGGGCTGGGGTGTGGCTCAGTGATAGAGCACCTGCCTAGAATCCTCCAATGAGGGGCTGGGGTGTGGCTCAGTGATAGAGCACCTGCCTAGAATCCTCCAATGAGGGGCTGGGGTGTGGCTCAGTGATAGAGCACCTGCCTAGAATCCACAAATGAGGGGCTGGGGTGTGGCTCAGTGATAGAGCACCTGCCTAGAATCCCCAGTGAGTGGCTGGGGAGTGAGGAACTCAGGGCTAGAAGGTGTGCCTAGCATACAGAAACCCTAGGTTCAGCCCCCAGCACCATCCACATATCTGTCTAGCAGACATACGCTAAGGTCCCCAGTCAGGGACTCTACTACCGCTGTGATTTCATTAACACAGAGCTTCTGCAAAGGGAGTGTTCCCTGACTTCCCACCTTGGAAGACCCTTTGGCAGGTGAGAAAATTGACTTCCTTAGGGACTAGTGAGTCACCCCAGGTCAGGTCGAGTGACCTCTCGAAGGCGGCAGCAGCCTGGACAGACTGGCAAGGCGAGGATGGTGTGAGTTCCCTGGTCTCAGAGGCAGGAGGACCTCGAGTTGCAGTCCATCCTGGGCTACATAGCGAGACCTGATCAAAGGAAAGAAAGGACTTACAGAAAAACTCCAAAATATATTGTTTTTCTCATGTGTTTTGGAGTGGAGCACACTCCCGGTGCAGAGTCAGAGGAGAGCACGTGAGGCTGCTCTTTACTTCCGTGTGGTTTCTGGGTGCCAGGCTTGGTGGCCAGTGCCTTTATCAGGTGAGCCACCTCACCAGTCCCAGTCAGACACTCTGTATGATGATTTAAAAAAATAAAATAAGGTGAGCAGTGGTGGCACACACCTTTAATCCCAGCACTCGGGAAGCAGAGGCAGGCGGATCTCTGTGAGTTCGAGGCCAGCCTGGTTTACAGAGTGAGTTCCAGGACAGGCTCCAAAGCTACAGAGAAACCCTGTCTCGAAAAACCAAGGTAAACAAAATAATAATAATGCTTTTATAAGGAAATCCCAGCCCGACAACAACAACAGAAGAAAGCACTGCCCTGACTGAGCTGTAGTCCAGACCGCTGGGCCCCCACACTGCTCTGTCCACTAGAGGAGCTGGGACCCCGTTGCTCTGTGGTTCCCAGATGAAGGAACTCCTGAAAACCTCCTTTCCTCCCCCAGATGAAGTGGTCTTAAAGTTCGACCAGAATCGTGTGCGCATCCGAAACGTGGCGTACGACACTCTCCCTGTTGTGGTCCATGGAAACGGTCCCACCAAGGTGCCTCTGGGGTCCTCAGCCCCTGCTTGTCTCGAGCCCTGGGTACCCCATCCCTCCTGGTCCATCTGGTCCTCCCCAGTCCCAGTAAAGAGGTGCTGGGACAGCCACCTCTCTTCACCCTGTGCTGAGCCCAGCTTGCCTTTCATGTGTCCCCAGACATGTCCACCTCAGCTACCCTCCCTCTGTTCCAACAGCTCCAGCTCAACTACCTGGGGAACTATGTCCCCAATGGCTGGACTCCCCAGGGAGGCTGTGGATTCTGCAACCAGAACCAGAGGACACTCCCGGGGGGGCAGGTGAGGAGAGAGATGAGATGTAGGGGAGGACAAGCTGGGCAGCCCCAGTTGCCAAGCTCCTGGGCATCCTGATCTGGCAGCGTGGTCAGTGGCCGGTGAGGGCTGCGGGGCAGAGAGAGGCCCGGGCTTCTGTGAGCCTTGTCCTGTGGTATCCTCAGCCTCCCCCCCGGGTGCTTCTGGCCGTGTTTGTGGAGCAGCCTACCCCCTTCCTGCCTCGATTCCTGCAGCGCCTACTGCTCCTGGATTACCCCCCAGACAGGATCTCTCTCTTCCTCCATAACAACGTGAGACATGGGACCTCCCCACCCCCACATCCTACACCTTTTCCCATCCTTCCTGCCCTGATTGCATCTCTGGGTACCACCTCTGCCCAAGCTGTCAGTACATGCTCCTCCCTGCCCCATCTTTAGGAGGTGTACCATGAGCCTCACATTGCAGACGCCTGGCCGCAGCTCCAGGACCACTTCTCAGCTACAAAGCTAGTAGGGCCAGAGGAAGCCCTGAGCCCCGGCGAGGCCAGGGACATGGCCATGTGAGTGAATCTCCCTCATCCTGCCATAGACGGTGGAGCCCCTGGGGAAGGAGACACGCACTGACTCTTGTCTTCCTCTCAGAGCTGGGAGAGCCCCACTTGTCCCTCCGTTCCCGTTGCCTTGCCCCCACGCCCCATTTGAACTCTCTCCATTTGTGGGTCTTCCCCTCCAGGGATAACTGTCGGCAGGACCCCGAGTGTGAGTTCTACTTCAGCCTGGATGCTGATGCTGTCCTTACCAACCCAGAGACCCTGCGCATCTTGATTGAACAAAACAGGTGACCAGCCAACCCTATGCATCCATGAAACCCCAGGAGGGCCTAGGAGCTCCACCCCTCCCTTGGGTGGGTCATAGTTCTGTCCCCTCTTGTTCACTCCCCTCTGCCCAGCCTTCACCTCTGTTTTATCCAGGAAGGTAATAGCCCCCATGCTTTCCCGCCATGGCAAACTCTGGTCCAACTTCTGGGGTGCCCTGAGCCCCGATGAGTACTATGCCCGCTCCGAAGACTATGTGGAACTGGTGCAGCGGAAGCGAGTGTGAGTCCTACCCATGTGTGCCATGCAGGGACCAGAGCCTTCCCTGGATCCCCACTTTGTAGCATCCTGGGTGGTCATTAGACAGGCCACAGCTGTGGGTAGGGACCGGCAATGGATTGGGTGGTGACTTCCCATCATTGGTGTGATTGCCACAGGCTCAGGGTTCTGGGGTACCCTGAGGGACGGAGCTTTTACAGTTAATAAAGTATAATCTGAGGGGTTGTCCGCCTGGCTAACGATACTCGGTGTCTGCAGGGGCGTGTGGAATGTGCCCTACATATCCCAGGCATATGTGATCCGCGGGGAGACCCTGAGGACAGAGCTGCCCCAGAAGGAGGTGTTCTCAGGCAGTGACACTGACCCAGACATGGCTTTCTGCAAGAGCCTACGGGATAAGGTGAGTGGGGTGGTTGGCATGGGTTGCCAAGCCTGGGGACTTGAGGCTGTGCCGACAGCTTCCTGTGGTCCTCCTCACGCATGCCCACCCTTTACCCCACTCCAGGGCATCTTCCTCCACCTCAGCAACCAGCATGAGTTTGGCCGGCTGCTGGCCACTTCTCGCTATGACACTGACCACTTACACCCAGACCTCTGGCAGATCTTTGACAACCCTGTGGTGAGAAGGACCCCCTCCATTGCCCACCACGGGGAGTGCGTAGCCCAATGGGGAGAGTCTAGAAGGCGCCACTCAAATGCCACAACCCCTCTTGCAGGACTGGAAAGAACAGTACATTCATGAGAACTACAGCCGGGCCCTGGATGGGGAGGGGCTGGTGGAGCAGGTAAGCTGCCCCAGGACCGCGGCCTATGTGACCCGCCCACCGCTGAGCTCCCAAAGACTGAGGGTTTGCTGTTTGGACAGGAGGGAGGCTGATAGCCACACTGAGTATAACACTGCAATCCTAGCAGTCTGGAATCTGATGCAGAAGGATGGAGAGTTCCAGGCTAGCCTGGACTGCGTAGTGAGTGTCATACGGTCAGGTGGCTACACCAAGTCTCAATAAAACAGATGGGGCAGAGGAGACCACTCTGTGGTTAAGCACTTAACACATGAGCATAAGGACCTAGTTCAGCTCTCCAGAACCTAAGTAAATGCTGCATGTATGGTAGTCTGTCTAATTCCAGCATTAAAAGGCAAAGACTCAGGATCCTCAGCAAACTGACTGGCCAGACTGGCTGCATCAGTAAGCTCTGGGCTTGACACAGGAAAAGTTGAGCAGTTCCTCGTGGTGAACTCAGATCCTCACACACACACATTTGAGTATGCACGCCCCTACACAGGTGTGCCCACGCTCACATGAAGACAAACAGAGGTGTGGCGCTTGCCTATAATCCCAGAATTCAGGCAGTGGAAGGAAGAAGCTAGGAGGGTTAGGAGTTGAAGGCCAGCCTCAGACACATAGCAAGTTCAAGACCATCTGGATTACGTAGTAAGACCTTGTCTAAAACTAAGAGAAATAAAGGGGCTGGGGATGTAGCTCACTCGGTAGAGGACTTGCTTGGCATTCACAGAGCCCTAGGTTCTGTCCTCTACCATATGCAGCACCGAGCGCGGTGTTGCAGCCTATGAGCTCAGCACTTAGGAAGACCAGAAGTTCAAGGCCAGCCTTGGCTACACAGTGAATTTGAAGCTAGCCTGGGCGACATAAGACCTTGTCTCCAAAAAAAATGGGGGGGGGGCAGAACAGGATCATTGTCCTAGATACTGGGGCTCTAGGCACCCTATTTCTGCCCTTCTCTGACCGCTGGAAGCTGATGCAGGAGGATGGAGGCCTCTTCGCTGACTACACCCCAGCAGCTGCCTAGAGAGCTCAGGTTGCCCTTCCGTAGATCCTCCCCTGTATGTCTCCCTCCCCTGTCCTGTCGCCTGTCCCACCCCTTGTCCCTCTCCCTTGAGTTTCACCTTGCCGTGTCCCCAGCCCTGCCCAGATGTGTACTGGTTCCCCCTGCTGACGGAGCAGATGTGTGACGAGCTAGTGGAGGAGATGGAGCACTACGGCCAGTGGTCTGGAGGCCGGCACGAGGTGAGGGTGGAGGTTCCCAAGGGGGCAGTGGGCTTGGGGTGTGGAGGGATTCCCAAGGGTGGGGCTCATTCAGGGCGTGGCAGTCACTTGTCTCATTGCTGTGACAAAGTATCCGACCAAAACAACTCGAAGGAAGGGCTCACAGTCTGTGGGTACAGCGCATCACGGCGGGGAGGCAAGGCGGCAGGAGCCTGACACAGCTGGTCACATGACATCTGCAATCAGACACAGAGACAGATGGGTGCTGGTGCTCAGATCCTGTTCTCAGGACCTTGGCACGTGGGATGGGGCTGCCACAGTGGTCAGGTCTTCCCATCTCTGTTAACGTAGTCCGGATGAGGCCCATCAAGTTGACAGTCCAAGTTAGGTCTTACACAGAGGGTGCTTATTTCATGGGCTATGGCTGTTCGATAGCATAGGAGAGCTGACAACACCAGAGACCGAAAGGCCCAGCACAGTGACTCTGGCTGGCAGTGGTGCCGTAGCCTTTAGTCCTAGCCCTTGGAGACAGAGGCAAGTGGATCTCTGAGTAGTTAGAAGCTAGCCTGGTCTACAGAGCGAGTTCCAGGACAGCCAGGAATACACAGAGAACTCTATCTCGAAAAACAAACAAAAAGACTAGGAACCAGCAAGAAGAAGCTGATACTGTCCCTGAGGAAGAATGGGCCAGCCCAGATGTGAGGGGCTCAGTGTCTGCTGTCCACAGGATTCCAGGTTGGCTGGAGGATACGAGAATGTGCCCACTGTGGATATCCACATGAAGCAGGTGGGGTACGAAGACCAGTGGCTTCAGCTGCTGAGGACATATGTGGGGCCCATGACCGAGTACCTGTTCCCTGGCTATCATACCAAGGTAGGGTATCCAACCACTGCTGTCTTCTTGTACCCCAGTCTTGGAAGGCTCCACACGGAACCCCCTCTCAGTCTCTGTAGACTTGGGGCTTGGGATCGAGGTGGCTTGGGAAGAAGCCAGGTCTCCGACTTGGGCTGCTCTGTCATTAGAAGAGTCCCTGGCCGGGCATGCAACCACCTGTAACCTCAGCGCTTGAGAAACTGAGGCTCAAAAATAATAATAATAATGATAATAATAATGTTTCATCAATAAAATACACTTAAAAAAGAGAGAAAGAGAGAGACTGAGGCTCGAAGAACAAGGGTTTGACGAGACCATGGGCTGCTCAGTGAAACCCTGTCTCAAAACAGAAAGGAAGGGCTGGGGATGTGGGTCAGTTCGATGCTTGCCCAGCGTGCACAGAGCCCTGGCTTTGTCTCCAGCACTGTGTAAAATGGGGTAGGACAGTAATACAGGACTGTTATCCCAGCACTCAGGAGGGAGAAGCAGGAGGACCAGAAGTTCAGGGTCATCTGTAGTCACACAGTGAGTTCAAGGCCGGCCTGGGCTACATGACCTTGTCTCAAAAACCAGGAAAAATGGGGCTGGGGAAGATGGGGGAGAGTTCATGTCATCAGCTCCCGTGTGAAAAGCTGGACATCGCGTTACACATCTGTACTCCCAGTTCTGGGGAGGAACCCAAGGTGCAGGAGGACAAGTAGACCCAGGTGTGGTAGCACACACCTGTTATCCCAGCACTAACGAGGCAGAGGCAGGCAGAGCTCTATGAGTTCGAGGCCAGCCTGGTCTACAGAATGTAGCCAAGGCTACACAGTGAGACCTTGTCTTGAAAAACAAACAAAAGAATATGAGAAAAGGAAGAGGCGTGGCTTCCCTTGCCCGTCTTGTGGCTTCCACTGCATGTCCCCACAGACACGGGCAGTGATGAACTTTGTGGTCCGCTACCGGCCAGATGAACAGCCCTCACTTCGGCCGCACCACGACTCGTCCACCTTCACTCTCAACGTTGCCCTCAACCACAAGGGCGTGGACTATGAGGTGAGTCTGGGTCCTTCCTGTCTCGGGACACTGCACACACTTCCCCGGCAGCCATGTCTCAGCTCCTTTCCCAGCCTCTGGCTGTGTCAGGTCATGGCTGGACTGCTCACAATCATGAAGGGACAGGACAGGAACTCCAGCAGGGCAGGAACCTGGAGGCAGGAACTGATGCAGAGACCTTGGAGGGGTGCTGCTTTCTGGCTCGTTCTTCACGGCTTCATCCACGGTGGGCTGGGTCTTCCCCCAGCAATCATCAGTCAAGAAAATGCCCCACAGGCTGGCCCAATGGAGGTCTTACCTCTGTTGAGACGCCCTCCTCCCTGATCCCAGCTTGTGTCAAGTTGATGTAAACTCAGCCATTACAGCTGCCTCCCTACGTCCTCTGGCTGGCCATGTCTGAATTGGTTACTTTTCTGTTATGGCCACAAACTTCCTGACAAAAGCAATGAAGGGGAGGGAGGGAGGAAAGATGGAAGGAAGGAAAGAAGGAAGGGAAGGAGGGAGGAAGGAAGGAAGGAAGGTCGGTCTGTTTTGGTTCACATTCTGGGAGTACGGTCCCTCATGGTGGGGAAGGCATGCTGGCAGGCGGGAGGCTGCTAGCTACGCTGTATCCACAGTCAAAAAGGTGAAGCCTGAAGCCCAGCACACTTTTTCTTTTTTTTTTTTTTTAATTTAATTTAATGTTCATTGGTGTGTTTGCCTGCATGTGTGTCTGTGTGAGGGTGTCGGGTCCCCTGGAACTGTAGTTACAGTTGTGAGCTGTTGTGGATGCTGGGAATTGAACCTGGATCCTCTGGAAGAGCAAGCAGTGCTCTTAACTGCTGAGCCATCTCTCTAGTCCTTACTCGCTCCTTTTGATCAGTCCTAGATGATGAGATGGCACCATCCTTCTTTGGGAGGGGTCTCCTCCGCCCCTCTCTAACCTGTTCTAGAACTCCCTCTCAGATATTCCCAGAGGTGGGTTTCTGTGATGGCTCTAAATTCCGTCAAGTTGGCATGCAGATTAACCAGCACCTCTCTTGCCTGTCTCAGCAGCCCGTTTAATTGGCACCTCCCCTGTGCCTGTTGCCCCCTGCCCCCCACATCCCCATGTCTGCTAACCTTACTTTTTATGTTCTCTCTCATCTCCCCAGGGAGGTGGCTGCCGCTTCCTGCGCTATGACTGCAGAATCTCATCCCCAAGAAAGGGCTGGGCTCTCCTGCACCCTGGCCGCCTCACACACTACCACGAGGGGCTGCCTACCACCCGGGGCACTCGATACATCATGGTGTCCTTTGTTGACCCCTGACACTCAACCAGTCTGCCAAACCTCTGCCATTGTGCCTTGTTGGGCTCCGGGGGTGCCGTTCTCGGAGAGAGGGGGCCCAGCTCTTCTCATTTCCTGAGCGTGTCTGTGTGCCTGGCACGGAATGTTCTGCCCTCAGCGTCCCTCTCAGGAGGTCCCTGGAGTCTGCCACCTTCCTACCGACCCGATGGACTCAGGGACAGTGGACTTTCGTTGTTTTATTTTTTGTTTTTTTTCGAGACAGGGTTTCTCTGTGTATCCCTGACTGTCCTGGAACTCACTCTGTACACCAGGCTGGCCTCGAACTCACAGAGATCCGTCTGCCTCTCCCTCCCACGTGCTGGGATTAAAGGCGTGCACCACTGCTGCCCATGGGAGTGGACTTCTGAGGGTTCCCTGATAAATTATTGAGCTTCCTCAGCCTCACATTAAATAAAAGGGTCTTTGTAGCTCTCGAGTCCATGAGTCATATATGTGAAGTCGGGGTCTCATGGAGCCCAGGCAGGCCTCCAACTCACTATAGGGATTACGGTGTGGACCACATGCGCAGTTCACACGGTGCTGGGATCAAACTCGGAGTCCTGCGTGATGGCAAGTACTCTACAACTGAGCTACATCCCTCTCCTTTATTCTTGTTGTTTAAATAAATTGTGTGTGTAAGTGTCGGTGTGTACATGAGAGTGAAGGTGTCCATGGAGGCCAGAAGATGGTATCGTACCCCCTTGGAACTGGAGTCACCGGTAGTTGGGTAGAGAGCCACCTGTCTTGAGTCAGGTGGGAACCAAACGCTGGTCCTCTGTAAGAACAACAAGCACTCTTAACCTCTGAGCCATCTCTCCAGCCCTCACCCCCTTTTATTACATTTATTCAGCGTGTGCACACGCGCGCATGTGTGTGTGTGTGTGTGTGTGTGTGTGTGTGTCTTATGGGAGTAGGTTTTCCACCCACACAAATATTCTCTAAAAGTTAAAAAAAAAATTTAGACTCAATTAGACTTGATCACCACCAGTCGTACATACCTGCCTCATCACGCTTGGATGCTCACAGCAAGTCCCTTCTCTGCCCAGCGTATAAGCTGATGACAGCCGATCCACACATGGTTGAGGGAAGGTCTGTTTTGTAGATACGAGAGAGGACAGTCCAGAGCAGAGAGGGAAAACAGCAGACTGGACCTGGCTGGGAGGGAAGCAGAGCAGAGGGAGAGGAGGACGGAGTACTGGCAATAGAGAAGACGGCAAACTGGTGCCGCACGCCGTAGAAGACTCCAGCTCTCCAGAGGCAGAGGCAGGCGGATCTCTGAGTTCAAGGCCAGCCTGGTCTACGAATCGAGTTCCAGGACAGTTAGGGCTACACACACAGAGAAACCCTGTCTTGAAAAACAAGCAAACAAATGAGAGAGGAAGAGAAGAGACCATGGCTGAAATAACAGGGTTATGAGGAAAATGAGCCGCTCTGGGGAGGGAGGGAAGCTCCCGAGGAGGAAGTCAGGATGCCGGCAGGGACTCGGAGACAGGTCCTTGTGATACTGAGGGAGCCTGGAGGCCCCCCGCCCCCAGCATACGCTTTGCTGTGCGGATGGGCACTGCATACAACCATTTGTTCTTTCTGCCAGTGATAAAGGAACCGGCTCCTTTGGTAGAGGGGAACCAGCGGCACGTGTTCTTAAGAAATGCTGGCTTTTGCCTAACTGCTGGAATTTGGGAAAATGGAGTTTGCTTTGCACCTGACACCCAGGCTCCTAGGAAAACCTTCCTGGCGGTGGCAGACAACCCACACATGGTTTGAACACTTTTGCCAGAGTGTGTATGTTTGTGAGTGCTGGGTGTGTATGTGGCGCCTATGCAAGCTAGGCGGATGCTGCCCACTGATCCACACCCCGCACCCCCAGCCTCTTACTGGGGGCTCAGCAGGAGCCCCACAGCTGAACTCCATCCCTTGCCTTGGGCAGAGCTCTGTCCCATGGATGGTAGTAATCTGAGCAAGGGGGTAGGGGGAGGGACTTTGGCAAGGTCCCTGGAAGGAGCAGTCTATATGAGCCAGAGGGAAGAGGACTGGCTTTGCCTGTCTGCCTGAGGCCCAGAATTTTGTACAATCACCTCCTGCATGCTGGCTTTCGGTAACTTTTCCTGGAGGGTAGATTTCTGTTCATTAGAGAGAGAGGGCAAAAGTAGCTGGGAACACAGCTACGTTGGTAGACTTTGCCTGGTGTCTTATTTAGGGTTTCCATTGCTGTGAAGGGTCACCATGACCTCAGCAACTCTTATAAAGGAAAACTTTTGTTTTGTTTTGGTTTTTCAAGACAGGGTTTCTCTATGTAACAGCCCTGGCTGTCCCAGAACCCACTTTTAGACCATGCTGGCCTCAAACTCAGAGATTTTTTTTTTTTTTTTTGGATAGAAGCCACTTACTTTTATTTTTGTTTTTTTTTGTTTTTTTTTCTTTCTTTCTTTCTTTCTTTCTTTCTTTCTTTCTTTCTTTCTTTCTTTCTTTCTTTCTTTATTAAATATTTCTGTCTCTTCCCCACCTCCGCCTCCCCTTTCCCTCCCCCTCCCCCAATCCATTCCCCCTCCCTCGTCAGCCCAAAGAGCAATCAGGGCTCTCCGTCCTGTGGGAAGTCCAAGGAAAACCCTCCTCCGTCCAGGTCTCGTAAGGTGAGCATCCAAACATCCTAGGCTCCCACAAAGCCACTACATGCAGTAGGATCAAAAACCCATTGCCATTGTTCTTGATGTCTCAGTAGTCCTCATTGTCCGCTATGTTCAGTGAGACCGGTTTTAACCCAGGCTTTTTCAGACCCAGGTCAGCTGGCCTTGGTGAGTTCCCGATAGAGCATCTCCATTATCTCAGTGTGTGGGTGCACCCCTCGCGGTCCTGAGTTCCTTGCTCATGTTCGCTCTCCTTCTGCTCCTGATTTGGACTCAGAGATTTTTTTTTGGCCTATGTCTCCTGAGTGTGGGGATTAAAGATGTGCACCACCACATATGGCCAAGGAAAACATTTAATAGGGTAGTTTACATTTTCAGAGGTTCAGTTCGTTATCATCACAGTGGGACATGCTAGCATGCAGGCAGATATGGTGCTGGGGAAGGAGATGAGGGTCCTACAGCTTGCAGGCAACAGGAAGTGACCTCTCACTGGGTGTAGCTTAAGTAATATATGAGACCTCAAAGCCCACCTCCACAGTGACACGCTTCCCCCAACAAGACCACACCTACTCCAACAAGGCTACACCTAATGCCACTCTCTCTCTTTTTTTAAAAGATTTATTTATTTATTATATACAGTGTTCTGCCTGTATGCATACCTGCACCCCAGAAGAGGGCACCAGATCTCATTATAGATGGTAGTGAGCCACCATGTGGTTGCTGGGAATTGAACTCAGGACCTCTGGAAGAACAGTCAGTGCTTTTAACCTCTGAGCCATCTCTCCAGCCCAATGCCACTCTTTTTGGGGGTCATTTCTTTCAAACCACCACACAGAGCATGCTTGAAGTCCAGGCGTCTGTGCCCGGTGCTGCACTGAGCCCCAAGTGGCGGGGCACACTGTAATCCCGGCAGGAGATCAGTGAGTTTCATGCCTGCCTGGGCTTTATGAAATAGTGTCTTAAAAAGGGGAGGGGGCAGTGCTGGAGGAAATGGGCAACAAAAGACCAAAGAGATTACCCCATCCAAGTCTGGTTTGGTGAGCCAGTGACCCACGACAGCTGTCATTGACTGCCTGCGGAGCTAATCTCCCACCTCCCAAGTCTACTGTGGCACCTCTCTCGAGACTGCGTGAGCTGGGACAGGAACTGAGTCAGAGTGAGAGGCCAGAAAGACAGGTGAAAGTCTGATACCGACCCCACGTGTCGGGGTGGGCATGGGGTGGAGGTCAGAGGTCAACTTCAGGTGTCAATCCGTTTTGCCATCCACCTTGATTTTAGACAGGGTCTCTCATTGACCTGGAACTCAGCAATGACCTGGGTCACCTGTCCCCACCTCTCCAATGCTGGGATTACAGTAAGCGTCCATGCCCAGTTTCATGTGTGTGTGTGTGTGTGTGTGTGTGTTTTGAGACAGGGTTTCTTTGTGTAGCCTTGTCTGTCCTAGCTCTGTAGACCAGGCTGGTCTCGAACACGCAGAGATCTGCTTGCCTCCAGGGTGCTGCGATTAAAGGCGTGCTCCACCACTGCTGGGCTCATGCCTAGCTTCTTGACGTGGTTGAGTTCTTGGGGGGCAAACTCAAGAAGACGAGCCCTTTGCTGACTGAGTTATCTCCCTAGCCCTCCCCCAGCGCCTTTTTAAAAGATTTATTTGGGGACTGGAGGGATGGATGGTTCAGCCATCAAGATTACATATTGCTCTCCTAGAGAACCTGAGTTTGGTTCCTAGCACCCAGGTCAGACAGCTCAACTGTTCTGCTGGAAGACCCACCTCAGTGCCCCCTTCCCTCTCCAAACCCACCAGAAAGCCTGGCAAGCGGTGGCTCCTCCTCTGGATTTGCTCAAGACCACGCCCACCGGATATTTAGGCTCCGCCCATAGACCTGCCCTGTGATTTCTCTCCTCCCTTTCCTGAGAGTCACCTGGGAGTGCTTTGCTCAGATTAAATCTGGTTTTATGAATCTGGATTGATCTGGTTTACTGTATTGATGGGGAAACCTACTACTGGGGATCCGAAAATCTTATCAACAACCACCTGTAACTTCAGCTCCAGAGAACCTGATGCCTCTGGCCTCCAAGGCTCCTGCATTCACCCTCCCACCCCGAACACACATACACATGATTTAAAATAAACAAATAAAAAAAAATCTTCCTGTAAATTTTTTTTTTGTTTGTTTGTTTTTTTGTTTTTTTGTTTTTCGAGACAGGGTTTCTCTGTGGCTTTGGAGCCTGTCCTGGAACTAGCTCTGTAAACCAGGCTGGTCTCGAACTCACATATTTGCATTTGTGTTCGTGTGTGTGCACACGTGTGTCCAGGGGCATGCAGGTGCCTGTGGAGGCCAGGAAAGGGCATCAGGTCCCCTGGAGCTGGGGTTACAGGTGGTTGTGAAACAGCTAACAAGGGTGTGGGAACCGAACTTAGGTCCTCGGCAAGAGCAGTAAGTGCTCTACAGGGTTTCTCTGTGTAGCCCTGGCTGTCCTGGAACTCGCTCTGTCAACCAGGCTGGCCTCAAGCACACGGGAATCCATCTGCCTCTACCACCCGAGTGCTGGGATTAAAGGTGTGCCACCCTGACCCGGTGCCCAGCCATTGCTCCAGACTCTCTGTACCCTCCCCTTTCTGTGAACGACAGTTATTCAGCCAAATTGTGTGTGGGGCCTGTGTGTGCTGTCCCAGATGATTTCAGGAAGGTTGAGCTCCTGTGCCTGAAGACAGCGTACCCCAACAGCGGGGCACTAGAACCGTCAGCAGGCCCCACAGCTGCCTCTTGATGCTTACAGCCTTGGGAATTTGACCTTATTTAGATCTGGGCACTGACTATGGGATTTTCAAACCTGTTCTTGTAACGGCCCATGGGGCCTTATACAGTACATGTCAGATCTCTACTTCAGCCTATTAGTGGAGACCAGAGGCCCAAACTGCTCTGGAGTTCAAACACCTTGCTCTAGGCTCCTGGGTCATTTCCATTTCATACTATTGGTCACTCCTGAAAGCTCGGGGAGAGATAGCTTTGCCTTGCCCCTGTTCACAGTTCACTGGCCACGTGGCTCAATGTGTGGGCCAAAGCAAGGGGGTAGAAATGGGGGTTGGCCCAGGCTCGGGGGTCAAAGTCAGAGGAGTGAGTCAAGAGGGGGGTGTACTTAATCTGTGGGTTGCCCCTGTGCAATTCCCTTCTAAAGTATGGAGGTCTCGTCCAGTCCCCTGCATCGGAGTCTTCGAGTGTTTGCTGGGCTTCAGTGGGTCTTTTCGTTCCTGGGACTTGGTGAGTCCCCAAAACCCCCGGAATCAGACAAACCTGGTTATTGGTGCTTTTCTTTTCTGGGGTCCTAGCAGGAGTATGGGGCTTGAATACCGTAGGACTGGGAGGGTGGGCCAGTGGGGAGAGAAGGGCTTAAACATCTGGGCTCTTTTTAAAAAAAAAACATTTGTTATTATGTGTATTTATTTGTGGGGAGGCATATTCATGCCATAGCAAATGTGTGCAGAGCAGAGGGCAGCTTGAAGTAATCGGGTCTGTGATTTCATTATATGGAACCCAGGGATCGAACTTAGGTCACCAGACTTGACAGCAAGCACTTTTACCGTCTCAGTCTTCTTGCTGGCTCGAACATTCGGGTTCCTAGCACGCCTCGCGATCTGGTCCTGCAGCCCTGCTGTGCCTGGTGGCCTTGGTCCTAGCCTCCCTAGGCCGAGCCTGGACCCTCGCAGTCCTCTACCTGACCTGGCTCTACAGAGACAGATACACACCCAGGAGGGGGGGCGGTCGCCGCTCTGCCTGGGTCCGGAACTGGGCAATCTGGAGGTATTTCCGAGACTACTTCCCCATCACGGTGAGGGTCCCAGAAAGTGCGCTGGCTTGATGGATGGGTGGGGTTTCAAAAGAGACAAATGTGGCCACCCGTCTCTCCCCACTTCTGGAGCTGTTCCTCACTGGGAAATGGGATACATCCATACCCTTTGTTCTCCAGCTGGTCAAAACGGCCGAGTTGGATCCATCCCGAAACTACCTTTTTGGATTCCATCCTCACGGGGTCCTGGTTGTTGGGGCCTTCAGCAACTTCTGTACAGAGGCCACAGGCTTCTCTGGCCTCTTTTCGGGTCTCAAGCCACACCTTCTCATGCTGCCATGTTGGTTACAAGTGCCTCTCTTCCGAGATTACATCATTTTTTTAACATTTATTTATTATGTATACAATATTCTGTCTGTCTGCAGGCCAGAAGAGGGCACCAGACCTCATTACAGATGGTTGTGAGCCACCATGTGGTTGCTGGGAATTGAACTCAGGACCTTTGGAAGAGCAGGCAATGCTCTTAACCACTGAGCCATCCCTCCAGCCCCCGAGATTACATCATGACCAGCGGTAAGGAAGCCCCTTCTGGAGATCCCCGGGCTCTGGATGTTACCTAACCTTTCTTATCCTGGGCTGGGGGAGGGGGTGCGGGCGCCTGTGTTCACCTCTATCTTGGTGGTATCCACGAGACCCAGCCTTTGTCCTCTCCACCCAGGTTTAGTCTCTTCTGACAAGGCTAGCGCTTCTATCTCTTGACCCACCCCGAGGGTGGCCAGATGGCCGTCCTGGCTGTGGGAGGTCTCCTGGAGGCAAAGCCAGGAACAGTGAGTTTGCAGCTCCGGAATCAGAAAAGATTCATTAAATTATCACTGGAACACGGGTGAGGAGTGGGCGGGTGGCGGCAAGGTATATCCACGGGAGCTGCTCTGTTAGAGAGGAGGAATGTCGCCCCGGTACCTTCAGGCTCCAGTCCGCCGCGGGCGGGTCTCTTCCTGCGCCTCCAGGGCTTCGCTTGTGCCTGTCCTTCTCCTTTGGAGAGAAGGCGCTCTTCCAGCAATATCCTAACCCGCCAGGCTCCTGGATGAGGAGGGTACAGGAAGCTCTTCAGGCGATGCTGAGCGTGGCCTTGCCTCTCTTTCACGGTCGCCTGGGTCTCCTGCTACCCTTCCGCGAGCCCATCCACACTGTGGGTGAGTCATGTATCTTTCCCATCATCTCCCTTAAAGCCTGACGTGCTAGCTCTCTGGTCCATGAGTCTGGCATTTATTCCCCAAGCTTTCTAGCCTGATCCCCAGTTAGTGGGAGATTTAGAGACACCTCAACAGTCAATCTTCTCCCCTCCCGTTCCGTCCTCAGTGGGCGCCCCAATTCCAGTCCAGCGAAGCCCGAGGCCCAGCCGGGAACAGGTGGACCAGCTGCACGCGTTGTATGTAGAGCGTCTCACACAGCTGTTTGAGGAACACAAGACACGATTTGGGGTCCCTGCTAATCAACACCTTGTTCTCACCTGGGCTCCTCCATGTCCCCGTGTCCTAGCCTTCCTGAGTGACTTCAGGGGATGGGGGAGGGGGATGAGGATGCGTGGGAAACGAAATTAAATGTGAGAATAGACAAGAAGCATGCGTGTGTTTGTACAAGTTCAGGGGAGGGAAGAGAAGCCTCGGGGCAGGGGCAGGGGGACCCATTGTCCCCGCTGATCCTGGTAGCCTTGACCACTCCCAGAGACCTGCAAACAGATTACATCGGCAGTGCCTGCCTGCCTGTGTGTCTGGGTCCTCCTGCCCTGCCTGGCCTGTATGTCGGAGATCAGAGTCTCCGGTCCCCCATTGTCCGGGTCCTGCGGGCCAGTGGGTACCTGCTTCGTGCCTACTCCCCCACCTCAACGCCTCAGTCACCAGGGAGGCGAGGGCTGTCCCTTTTCTACCTCTCTTTCCCCACTCAGAGCTCCTCCCAGTAACCTGCCCAGACTCATTGACCATGGAAGTTCAAAGGTCAGTCCAAGAAGGAGCCTAGAAAGTTCTGGGGCTCCAGGTCCAACATCCGACCATCTCAGAGGTGATCTGCTCCCTGCGAGATCACACCCCCAAACCTTCACCCTCTGTTTCCTGGGTCCTGGAGTCACTAGGACAGCTATCCCCATATCCCTTCTCCTCTCTCACCATGAAAACACCTCAGAAGCAAAGGCTTGAAGTGATAGGCGCCTACCAATATGTGGTCACTTTTCTCTTCATGGGTAAGTGTGACTGGCGGGGGAGGGGGGACATGGGGGCCCAGAGACAAGGGAACTAGGAAAAGGACATTGGTGGCCATATGTCTGGGCTGTTACCATTGTGGGCTCCAGGCACCAGGAAGGGGCCACAGGAGACCACAGGGTGGGGGGGGGGGAGCAGGTTGTTTTGACTGACTATGTGACAGACAGAAGCCCAGTCTTCTTTCCCTTTTCACCCAGGCCTTTCCTGGACCCTTCTGGTCTTCTTTCTCCATTTTACCCAGCTCTGGTCCTTCTCTGTTCTCTATTCCGTGTGGCTGTACCTGGACTGGAACACACCCATCCAAAGTAAGTCTGGGGCAGAGGTCTCCTCTGGTCATGAGATGTGTGTTTCCACCGTTCGTGTGTGTGTGTGTGTGTGTGCATGTTGTTTTTGTTTTTAAGTGTGCATAGGTTCTGCTGGTGGGAACCAGAGGTTGATTCCACCACCCTTCTGCCTTGTTCACTGAAGCAGGGTCTCTCAATCAAACCCAGAGCACACTGATATGTGGCTGTCTTTTGCTAGCCAGCGTGCGCTGGGGGATTCCTGTCTCCTTCTGAGACTGGAATTGCAGTGACTTCTGTGCCCACCTGGCACCGAGCCAGACTCCGCTCCTTCATAATAGCTAATTCTGCAGGTGAGCATGTCCAGACATGGTCACCCCCATCCCGAGAGGCTACAGAGTGTGTCCTGCCCCATTCTGGGTCCCTCCCAAACCCGAATCTCTTCCCAGTGAGTCCTGGCTGTTTTTTGGCCTTGGATACGTCATTACTCTAGCTGCTTAAGTTTTTATTAACATAATAGGGATCTCGTGGGCCTGGAGAGATGGCGCAATAGTTAAGAGCACTTGTTGCTCCTGCAGAGGACCCAGGTTGGAGGCTCACAACCACCCACAACTCTAGTTCCAAGGGAGCCACTGTCCTCTTCTGAACGCCACAGGCACCAGGCAAGCTCAGGGTGCACACACATTCATGTAGGCAAACAGTAACTCTTAACTATTGGGGTTTTTGTTTGTTCTGTTTCATTTTTATTTTTCGAGACAGGGTTTCTCTGTGTGGCCATGACTGTCCTGGAACTCGCGCTGTAGACCAAGCTGATATCAGAGATCCGCCTGCCTCTGCCTCCTGGGTGCTGGGATTAAAGGCGTGCGCCACCACACCCAGCATCTATTGGGTTTGAGTATGACATTTTCATACATGTGACCTTACTTATACCCAAGACCCTCTTGTTCCCCTCCTTTCCTCTTTCCAACTGGTCTGTCTTCTGCTTCCATGTCTTTTTCTGTTTGTTTGCAGGGTTTGGGGACCCAGTGAGTTTCATTAGTGTTGTTTACAGGCGTGTGAACACCTCTCCAGTGGCTCCGCTGTGGCAGAGAATGTCTCACCACCATCCTAGCAAGCATCAAGTTCCACCCCATCCCCCATTTTGGAGCCAGAGTCTCTGGCTGACCTGGAACTCACTGTGTAGACAAGCAGGTCTCTCAAGTGCTGAGATTTTTTTTAAATATTTATTTATTTATTATGTATACAATATTCTGTCTGTGTATATGCCTGCAGGCCAGAAGAGGGCACCAGACCTCATTACAGATGGTTGTGAGCCACCACGTGGTTGCTGGGAATTGAACTCAAAACCTTTGGAAGAGCAGGCAACGCTCTTAACCTCTGAGCCATCTCTCGAGCCCCTCAAGTGCTGAGATTAAAGCCGTGACTACCACCACCCCTTTTTTGAGACTGAGTCTCCTGTGGCTCAAGCTGGCTTTGAATGTCTCGTATAGCGGAGGTGGGCCTTGAATCCCTGCTCCTTTTGTCTCCACGCCCCAAGTGTTGGAATTGGAGTTGAGTGTTACTGAGAGGCTGTAATCCTTGCTGAGAATGTTGCTCCTTTTGTAAATGAGGCCAACAGTTTAGCCAAGAACTGCCAGGTACCCAGTGGTGGTGCACGCTTTTAATTCCAGCACTCAGGATACAGAGACAGGTGGATCTCTGTGAGTTTGAGGCCAGCCTGGTCTATAGAGCGAGTTCCAGGACAGCCAGCGGTACTCAGAGAAATCCTTTTTTTGGTGAGGTGGGGGAACAGGGGAGGAGTTGGAGAACTGGCGGGCTACAGTGCAGAGCTGTGTGGAAGGTTAGCTTTGAAGGGTGAGTAGAATTTTGGAAGTAGGAGAAGTGAGGGTAGGTACTGGAATACCATGAGCAAAAGCTCAGCTTGGGATCTGTCCTGGTGTGCACGCTTTTGTCCCCAGCCCCTGGAAGACTGAGGCAGGAAGGTCCTGGCTCCTACAGCGAGACGGGAGGAGGAGACAGTTGACTCCCCGAAAGTTCATAGACCAGCTAGCCTGACATATGCAACGGCAAACCAGAGACCCCATCTCAAACAAGGCGGACAGTCGGTACTGACGTCTGAGTGTACACCCGCACTCACACAAACACTCCCGCACAGAGACTGAAAACAAAACAGGAGGAAACACATGCCTCGTACCAGTAAATCTGGCCAGGAACCAATAGTCCGGGGGAGCTCGTGGGGGGCCAAGGGCGAGCCTGCTACTATCCCATTGCTAAATGGACAGACCATCAGAGGGTTCACTGAATCCGTGTATCTCCATTACCCACAGATTACCGCGGCTCCCAGACCTTCTCAGAAAGCTCCCTTGTGTAACGGGCAATGGTGAAGGGAGAAATGTAACTAAATAAAGCGCAGAGACCAGGTCAGTGCACTGCTCAGCCCCGGAGGGTCAAGGTGCAGGGACCATCTGGGAAAAGAAGAGCAGGAGTCGGAGGTCAGCGCAGACAGAGTGGCTTCCGGACACGGCAGGACACACCACCCACGAACTCACACCAACTGCAGTTGCCTGTACAAGATCAAACCGGCGTGGAAGGGGAGGGGCACACACTCTCCCTACCTGAGCTACTGTTGACAGAGGCTTCTGGAGAAGGGACGGGCAGTTTTCTTTAAGGGTGTCGGCCCTGGCAAGTAGACCTATTCCAGTGGATCCATGCATACCCATGAGTGTATGGGCACCGCAAAACGGAGTCAGTGAGCTGTAAAAGAGTGTGTGGGGGTGGGGTGGGGGGGGGAGCAGTTCAGAGGGGATGAGGAGGGTGAGGGATGAATGGGGAGAAGTGAGAAGTCAATGTAATTGAAATACTTTGTATTCATGTATAAAATTTCCTCCCCCACAAATTAATATAAAATATTGTATTAAAAGAAGATTTAAGAGCTTAAAATAAGGGTGGAGACCAAAGTAGGGTTAATGGCACAGATAAGATGCAGGGTGAGATCTGATGTCTTCTGAGTCCTGTGGCCACAGCATCCTTTCACTTACCTGTTTGCCTGCATCCGGACTGAGAAGCAGAAGGACTTGTCAGCGGGCGTGATGACTCATGCCTGATCAGCTCCTGCGTCAGAAGATTTCTTTCCTGGCCCAAGTAATAATAATAACACCAATTTGTCTGAATGTGAACCGAATGCAACTCTGTTTGTCATCCGCTGTCCTAAAAATACATTCAGGGGAAGAATTTTCTCGTATCTCCAGGCAAAAATTTGGGTAAATTCACAACTTTTGTTGGTCTTCTTCAGATAGGAAGTTGTTTTCTTTTCTTTTCTTTTTTTTTTTTTTTTTTAAAGACAAGGTCTCATGTAGCCCAGGTTACCTTCAAAGTTTCTGAGTGAGGAGAGGGTGCCTTTGAGTTCCTGATCTTCCTGTCTGTGGTGGGGATGGAACCCAGGGTTCTTTTGTGTGTGTTACACAAGCATCCTATCAACTGAGCCATCTCTCCAGCCCTCCTGATATTTTGTTGTGGTGTGTCTGTGGTTTTTTTTGTGTGTGTGTCTGTGTGTCTGTGTCTCTCTGTGTGTCTTTGTGTGTGTGTGTGTCTTTGTGTGTGTGTCTGTGTCTGTGTGTGTCTCTGTGGGTGTGTCTGTGGGTGTGTATCTGTGTGTGTCTGTGTGTGTCTTTGTGTGTATGTCTATGTGTGTGTCTGTGATATGGGAGTGTCATATATCAATCTGTTGATTTCATTGGTTAAGCAATAAAGAAACTCCTTGGCCCTGATAGGTTAAAACATAGGTGGGAGGAGTAAACAGAATAGGGTGCTGGGAGGAAGAGGAAGTGAGCTCAGACTTGACAGCTCTGCTCTCTGGAGCAGAGATGCCAGGCTCCGCTCTCCCAGGCAGCTCCGACCCAGGATGGACATAGGCTAGAATCTTCCCGGTAAGCGCACTTTGGGGTGCTTACACACATTATTAGAAATGGGCTAAATTAATATGTGAGAATTAGCCTAGAAGAGGCTAGATAGAAATGGGCCAAGCAGTACTTAAATGAATACAGTTTGTGTGTTGTTATTTCGGGCATAAGCTAGCAGGCGGCTGGGGTGCTGGGGACGCAGCCTCGCCGCTCTTATTTCAACATGTCTGTGTGTGTCTGTGTCTATGTGTGTAATTGTGTGTGTCTGTGCATGTGTATCTGTGTGTGTATGTGTGTATCTGTGTGTTTGTGTATCTGTCTGTGTATATGTGTATGTCTGTGCGTGTGTGTCTTTGTCTATCTGTGTGTCTGGGTATGTGTCTGTGTGTGTGTCTGAGTATGTGTCTGTGTGTGTGTCTGTGTGTGTCTGAGTATGTGTGTGTGTGTGTCTGAGTATGTGTGTGTCTGTGTGTGTTGTCTGTGTGTGTGTGTGTCTGTGTGTGTAGATAGCGGGATAGCGAGGCTAGAGGACACTCAGCATCCTCTATTGCTCTTGGCCCTGTTCCCTTCAGACAGGGTCTCTCATTGAAGGTGGAGCTCAGTGGCTGGCCAGCAACCCCAGCAATCCTTCTGTCTCTGCTACCCCTGGGCTGAGGTTACAGGTATGTATGAAGCTTGTCAAATTAAACCCTCGTGGGCTCCAGCCCAATAGGCCTTGCCTCCTGCTGGCTCCAGTTCTCCAGGGCCTGCCTTGCTACTTTGTTACACGCCTGGAATATGCTCAAGCCCCCATGCCCCGCCCCATGTCTCCTGACTTCCCCCCTTCACTCTCATCTCTCCCCGCTTCTTCTCTCCTCTTCTATTTGAGACAAAGTCTCAGGTAGCTCAGGCTGGCCTTGAACTCGCTATGTAACCAATGCTCCTCTTGAACTCCTGGCTCCGCCTTCCAAGTTTTGAGATGACAGACTCTGCCTCCATGCCTAGCTCATAGTAAATTCTCTCCAGAAAAGGGCAAGTGCCAGGTGTTGTGGGATAGTCTTTTTGTACACTATGAAGATGTGTCTCTGTGATTGGTTTAATAAAAAACTGAACGGCCAATAGCTAGGCAGGAGAGAATAGGCAGGACTTCTGGGGAGAGAGAGAGAATGCTGGGAAGAAAGGGATTTTTGCCAGCAGACTTGGAGGAAGTTGAATGCGCTGTACTGAGAAAAGGTAAAAGCCATGTGGCCGAAAGTAGATTAACTGAAACAGGTTAATTTAAATTCTAAACTAATTGGAAACAAGCCTAAGCTAAAGGCCAAGTTTTTATAACTAATAATAAGTCTCTGTGTCATTATTTGCCGACTGGAGGTCCCAATGATTACTGCTTCTACGTTTGGCACCCAACATGGAGCATGAACCCATGACCCTGGGATTAAGAGTCCAATGTAGCACAAATAATAAAAACCCAGAGACAGATATTGGGGTTCAATCAGAAAACCAGAAAAACAGGGCTGGAGAAATGACTCAGAGGTTAAGAGCAGTGTCTGCTCTTCCAGAGATCCTGAGTTCAAGGCCCAGTAACCACATGGTGGCTCACAACCATCTATGAGATCTGGTGCCCTCTTCTGGCCTGCAGGTGTACATGCAGACAGAACACTGTATACATAATAAATAAAATCTTAAAAAAAAAAAAAAAAAAGAAGAAGAAATAAAGAAAAGAAAACCAGAAAAGTAAAGCAGCCAAGTCACTAGAGAAGCTGTATCTCTACCAGGACTGGGCAACCGCAGACTAAAAAGACTAAACCTCTTTCTCCTCTCATTTTATATTCCCTCTACTGCTGGGATTAAAGACATGTGACTCCCTAGTACTGGGATTAAAGGTGTAGGCCACCACCACCTGGATTTGTTTCTACACTGATCTTGTGTAGTTCAGGGTAGCCTTGAACTCATAGAGATCCACCTGCCTCTGTCTTCCAAATCCTGGGATTAAAGGTGTGTGCCACCACTGCCTGCCTTCTAGTGGCTTACCTTGCCCTTCTGATCTTTAGGCGAGCTTTAATGTTAAAACATAAACAAAATATCACTATAGTCCCATGCTCTACTGACTGATACCTACGACATACTTCCTTCTGAGTGGCTCTTACCCAAGCTCCCTTCCCTTCAGTGGGTCAAATTCCTTAGACATCCGGCATGGCTGTTCATCTAAATTAACTTGTAAGACTAGCAAATGTCTTTCATTTGATCAGACATAGCCTGCCAAAAAGGAAACCTCCCCAAAGTTAGGTTGGGACAGGGTTTTGTTTTTGACTTCCTTCCAGGAGAATAAAAGGGCCTAACTAAAGAATCTAAAGACCACTGGACCAATCAGATGTCTGAAGAAGAAGCATGAATCATGTCCCAAGAAAAAGAGTAAATTGGCTTAATGGTATAGCACCTCTCCAATAGGAAAAAAATTCATACACCTTCCCAAATGTTTGTTTCTGCTGTTTTCTACAGACGTGTAAGGCAAATGGTCTTTTGGTAGTCTCAACTCAAAAAGTAAATATGGCTTTGGAGTTGGAGTATGACTCTCTCCTTCTCTAAACACAAGCATGTTTGTTAAAGGAAAACTCAGCGTCTTTGTCTCATATCAGAAGAGCCACCTGGTATGGGATTGGAGAAAAAATTAAGGGACTATTCTATTGCCACTAATCTCATCATCCCTTGCTTTTATTTTAACTCTTTAAAACCTTTCTTAAGGTATAAATATTATCTCAAAATTTGTTATATATATAACTTTCTGTCGTGATATTAATGGTTATATAGAGTATTGACTAATTCTAGAAATAGGCTTCGTCTAGCTTCCTGCATGTAATTATATAATTTTGGTTTGACTCTGAAGCAGGTAGTTAGGAATTAAGCTTATGTATCCCAGGTGTATTTAATAAATTGTGGCCCTTTAACCTCTCCAAGGTCTGCTGCATATGACATTCAAAATGTTTAAGTTTTCTGCAGTGAACCATGACCAATCCCAACAGCAACCTTTGAAGTCTCCAAAAGGATGATGGGGCCTCACAATGATGATTCTACATGGTTTGTGGTTACACCACTGAGCTGACAATCAGCTTTTGACTACAAACTGCTCAGGACAATTCCACGGCAGTTAGCTACGATGATCCAGCCTCATAGACCACTCCAGTCAGAACTTCAGCTAAGCCCTGTACTTTCCCATCACACCAAGACTGGGTACCAGCTAGCTCTCCCAGGACTTGGTCTTTATCTCAATGTTTTCAGGGGCTTCTAGAGATGCCATTGCCCCCAGGCAACAGCAAGTCATTTTAAGAACATGATGCCCATATTTCTTTTCTTTTCTTTTTTTTTTTTTAAAGATTTATTTATTTATTGTGTACACAGTGTTCAGCCTCCTTGTATGCCTGCAGGCCAGAAGAGGGCACCAGATCTCATTACAGATGGTTGTGAGCCACCATGTGGTTTCTGGGAATTGAACTCA